TATCGCTATATAGATGATCTTCTGATCATCTGGAAAGGTACAGCGATAGAGGCGCATGAGATGGTGGAGAATCTCAACCAACTTCCAGTACCTATCAGACTGACGGCACACATCAGTTCTGAAGAAGTCCAATATCTAGATGTGGAGTTAATTGTTGGTATCAGCAGGATAGAGTATAGTCTCTATACTAAGATGACGGATAGAAACACTCTATTGCATGCAAATAGCGCTCATCCACAACCATCGATAAAATCACTCCCAAAAGCGCAATACTTAAGGGTGATGAGAAACAACTCTGATGAGACCATTAAGGAAAGACAATTATTAGAAATGACAGAATTTTTTTTACAAAGAGGATATCAACGCCTGGCTTTGGATCAAGCATTGAAAGAAGCTAGGAAACCTTGGATACTTAGAGAACAAGCATCAACTCAAAGATTGGTCTTTCCTACTACATACCATAAATCTACTCAGTCTATTTCTTCTGCTATAAGAAAGAATTGGAGAATTTTGGCGACGGACGACACTCTCCCTAAGGTCTTTCGTGAAAAAACGCTTATTTGTTACAAGAGAAATAAAAACCTAAAAGATCTATTAGTGTGTACAGATCCTATTCTAAGCTACTCGGACAATACTTTTATTCAAAATCGAGGTTGTGTTCGATGCCTTGGGTGCGTTACATGTGGACACATGACGCCAGCAAAAAGTTTTTTTCACCCGCATACGAACAAACAATACTCCATTAAGAGTACTATAACGTGTAAAACCACACACGTTATTTACAAATTAATGTGTCCGTGTGGCTTAGTATACATAGGAAAAACAGAAACTGCGCTATGCGAAAGGATAAGAGGACACCGATCAAGTATCAGATTGGCGTACAGAGACGGAATGTCGGACAAACCAGTTGCCAAACATTTTTTACAGATGGGACATCCATTAGCTACTTTAAGATTTGTGGCAATTGAACATGTTTTAGCATCAAACAGAGCCAGAGAACGTGGAAAACTCTTGTTGAACAGAGAAACCTTTTGGATTTTTGAATTAGACACGGTATCCCCGAAAGGGTTAAATGAACATATTTCGTTTCATTCTTTTTTGTAGCATTAATTAATTTTATGCAGTATTAATTTTTTTAGATCTATAATTGGGCTATAACTTTTCAAAATCCTATAATGTGTTTGCTTCAATAAATTAGGATATATGTTTGTCTAAATATAATAATCTTTTCAAAAAGATTTTATAAAAAAGTTTATTTGGAGAAAAAGTTCCAGGTATTTGTTCCAGGTATTTGAAATAATATGGCTTAGTGAAGAAAAAACATTTTCTGCAGCCAGACTAAAATTAAGCTCCAACTTGTTATATTATTTTACCTAATGTTTTTAAAGATACAATCTGAGATAATGCTAACTATGGTTTGGTACTTTATATAATTTGGGTAATAATCAATAAAACTACAATTCCTAATATAATATTTAGCTTTAATAGTACCCTAGTCTGCATATCTCAGATTGACTTTCTGTGTGTGTATTAGTGAATATGCTTTTTTTGTAGAATATGTACATAATTAGTGTTCTAATATTTTAAAATCATATACAGTCTATAATCTTTGCACAGTGTATACTTAGTAAAGTTCAGCACCATGTCACTTTAAGCACTTTTTAAGTTATCACTTTAAACTTATACATTCACTTGCTACATATGAATTTAATCACTTTATATTTCATCGGGTGCTACTAAGTGATTCTATGTTAGCACTTTAATTGCACAGTGCACTTTTCCATTTAATGGCATTCAGCCAGATCTTTATAATATGGGATGATCATTTATTATTATAATATCACTAATAAGTCTTTTCACTGTCCTCAATACACATCATGTAATTAAATATACTGGCCACTATAATCAAAGTGTTTTTTAATCACACGATTTTTAACTATCCGTTTGTACTTTATCTCCATAGCGACGTGTCTGTATGTCCGCGTCGCTATGGTTACGGACGGTTACGTCGGCGTAATGTGACGTCACTATGTGGGGCGGGGCATGTTCGCACATGCGCACACGAGGCACTGGGACGCCAGCTAGGCGGCAATATTCACTTGGGGTAAGCTTATCCACCTAAAATTGTTCAATTTAATTAATTATGTTTCATATAAATATGCTGTATGTATGATGTCTGTTTTCATGATCCTGATGAAAGTCCTCTTGGAAGGACTGAAACGTTGTAAAAACTGCGATCATTTTTTTTTTTTTTTTTTTAACTTGTCAATAAACTTTGGACTTTTATTTAAATCCGTGAGTGCAACCATCCATTTGGATTTTTGTATACTTTGGCTGTATATGGCTGGCACCCGGTCACAAAGGGAGACATCAGCGTGAGTGCAGGAATTATTTTAGTTTTTTTATATATATATATATATATATATCAAAGTACACGTACAATGATATTGACTAAATATATGTATATTATATATAATATAAAATAAACAAATATGTAAATACGTTAAAATTAAAAAAAATTAAAAAATAATACAAAAAATAAAAAAATATATACATGTGTAATTTCGTTCTAACTATATTTTAAAACTAATATATATATTGATATCAAAATACATGTAGAACGAAATAAGATATTTATCTATATACATAAGTATATACGTATATATCACTATATATATATATATATATATATATATAAATATATATATATATATATATATATATATATATATATATATATATATACACACACACACACGTATACATATAATAATTATATGTATATATTTATGTAATAATTTTACATAATTAGGTCATTTTATTAATTACAATTTGCAGGACCTGCCTGACAACCCAGGCTGAAAGTTCAGGGAATTTAATTTGCTAGCACTATATTTAACCCTGTAACTTTCCAAGACACCATAAAACCTGTACATGGGGGGGCACTGTTTTACTCAGAAGACTTTGCTGAATACAAATATTAGTGTTTGAAAACAGTAAAATGTATTACAACGACAATATGGAACGACAATAGGTGAATGGAGAGAGAAGTTTCGCACCAAATGATCTGCTTTTCCACAGTAGAGACAGAGTCCCTGTGGTGGATGTTTCTTATGTTCTTCATGTGACAGAGGGCCATGGGTCACCCCTATTTGCATAGGTTCCTCCAAGGCTTGTGCCGGGGAAGTAGTAATGGTTTGGCCAGGGTGTTAAGGAGGAGCAGGTCCTTGTAATCTTTTAGACCTCCTATCGCAAAAAATGTCTGTCTAATTTGCTAACAAGCTGGATCAGTTCTTTCAGAGAAGGTGTATGCCTAGTCTAGCCAACTCGTCTTTCAATGCTTTAAATAGTCCCAGACAGTGCTGTTCTATGAGACCATTTTTGTTGTGACCCATTTAGGGTCACCTCCCTGAATTCCATAGTGTAATCCTACAGGTCTTCTACCTTGTCGCAGGGAATGCATAGTTGTACATGAAGTGGATGCTCTTAATGGATCATCATATAGGACTTGCTTAGCAGAAATAAAGAATTCCCATGAAGTCAGTTCAGGACTGTTGGCATGAAGTAGTTGACCCAATAATAAGCTGCGTACCTTAATATACTTATTCGGTTAGGTTCGATGTTTCAAGGCGAACATCAGTTCACAGTAAGTGATGTTCTTAGATCAGACCTTTTAAGAGTAAATATGTCTGGCATTGGGATCGCAAGTTCTATGATGCTAGATGTCATAGAAGGAGGAGCTGACGCAAGTGAGAATGCAGGTAACGGCGTAGATTCAGCCCTCTGTTACTCACTTTGAGTTAGGGTAGCTTGACTGAGAAGAACTCAGCTGCAGTGGTATGATAACCCCTTTGCAGACAAAACCTTTGCAGGTGCTTCAGAGTGGTATGGGAATCTAGGAGATGGGTACCTTTAGTTACAGATGTAGCAAAGTAGACATAAAGGAGAAGACAGGAAGTAGTGCCAGGCGTTCCTCTGATCAAGGCAGACAGCAAAGGAGGGAGGTCAAAATTCAAGCCAAAGGTCAGAATCCAGGAAATCCACAAGCAGCGGGCCAGAAGGCAATCATTGCAGAAAAGCACGATTTAAGAAGAGGTTTTACTGGGGGATCAGGAGCAAGGAACCAGGATCATCAACAAGAACCAGGTTCATGACCAGAAATTAGGAACAAATACAAGAACCAGGATTGGGATCAGGATGTCAGGAGACTGGGGCAAGCATGAGAGCAACCAATCATTGACCAAGCACAGTGCTTGGCTATTTATAGGCAGAGGATGTCATGTGACTGGCCCCCAGCCACTACAGGTGGAGCCCCCAAGGACTATAAAGGAGGGGAGGAGGCTGGGCGCTATCGTGACTATTCCACAGTCCCTCCCATCTGTCTATCCTCAGGCCCTCCCCATACTGCGTCAGCATCCACTTGTCATCTGTAATTTTACTGCAGCGCCCAAATGGAGCATGGCGCCATGCAGCAGAAAGAGGTCCATGGGAGAAGCAGTGACAGTGGGGCTGGATAGAGCCACCTATCCAGCACCCAAGTCCCCAGAGGATCTCCTCCAGGATTTGAGGGGGTTGTGACACTTGTGTGTTATACATGAGATCCATGGCCCCCTGTGGCTTGTGCATTTGATACGATTTACTCTGTTCTGTGCTCTTTTTCTTTACTTTAAAAAAGCAGTAAAACATTTGCATGCTTAGTTATTTTCTTCATTGGCACTAGTGATACTTCTAACTAACATTCTTTATAGACCTTTCCTAAGGCACTCCATTATACTTCCTATGTTAAAATGTGGTATTTTGTGTAAAATATGGTATATTTATGTGTATAATGCTACCTATGCATTACTACAGTATTTCTGTCTCATTTGTAGTATTGTGGACTTTGTATGTAGATAAAACAAAGCCTAGGAAATAGATATGTGAAATCCTGCTGTGTCATGCGGACACTATATTCGTAGTGTTATATTCATTACTCTTCCTATTTTGTGCACATTCGAATGAGGCAGGGGAGAGAAAGGGGAGTGGATGTTTGAAGGGGAAGTGTGTTTAAAAGCTTAAAGTGTATAAAGGTCGTCAGACAGAAGCAAGGGTGCATTCAAAGGATCACGCACTGCACACTTTCTGCTACACCGTAATCTCCATAAAACAGGTATTTTAATATATATATGACCTGCATTGTAGACAATCTGAAAGTGCTAAACATGTTAAAAGGCAGAGATCTAAGTAATTCGAAACATGTTTAATTATTTACAGCTGCTTTATTCAACCTGTTAAACGCTCTGCAAGTGAGAGTTCATTTTAAAAGGTTACCCCAAGCTCCACGACCAAATTAGTTAGTTGAAGTTGTCATGGTTCCTGGAGTATGTATGTGCAGTTTTTAAAAAACTAACTCCAGCTTCGGCAGCATCATTGGAGTGTCATTATAGCCAGCCTGAAGCAAGAATTCCAGCCTGCTAAGTCCTGTGGTTGGTGTCTCTCTCACACACACAACATGCTGACAATAGACAGCCAATGGTGACATAGCCTCCTCCTTCAAGCTGCCCATGAATTTTATTGCCATTTTAGTTTTTTGAGTGTGTCATAACAGCTGTACTATTACAGCAAGTTGTGGTAATGTGAAAACCATATGCAAAATTTATGCTGAAATAGGTCAGAAATAACAAAACGCTTGTGAATTTGAGATTGATTCCAAGGTTGCCATGTTTTCTAATCCTCTTGTAATTTATGCACAAGTCACTGTTTAAAGAATTTAACAAATTCTGTATTGCAATCTTTGAAATGATTGCATACACTATTGCAGAAACTAGACGTTGGTGTGTGACAGCAGCCTTTTGTAATGCATTGTATTTGGTAATCTGTGTTCTACGTGCTCTGCATTCCAAGAATGGCAGAGAATGCTGTGTAAGCATGCTATGTAATGTGTAGGAAAAAGACAAAACCAAAATACGAGTTTGAAACCTGGGTTGTTTTCCTGTATATTTCTATGTATCTATTTACATTATTTTAATGGGAAATTTATTTTTGAAACCATATAATTCACATTAAGGTATTGTGATAAGGTGAATGGGGTGGTCTGTGAGGGAGTTTATATTTCAACTGAATTGTTCAGAGAGGCATATGATTTTTAACCCCGGGGGAGTGTGAGTTACGGTGTGTGTGTGTGTGTGTGTGTGTGTATATATAACCAAAATGAATATTTAGTTATGCTTTTTGTTAATGGGGATTTTGTTACATTATTGTTTGTTTTTGGTTTTTTTCATCTACTGCTGTCTCCTGTGTGGATTTACAAATAAAGTGCTTGGAATTAAGTTCCTTTTAACCCCTTAAGGACCAAACTTCTGGAATAAAAGGGAATCATGACATGTCACACATGTCATGTGTCATTAAGGGATTAAAGACTGTGCATGTTTGTACCCAAAAGGACCGTGCTACCTGCAGACAAGGATCACAGTATCATGCTATAAATTAAATTCCACAATTCAGTCATCATGCATCGGGTCTTTAAATCTTAGTACATTGCAGGGACTTTTGGTAAATTACTACCGTATACATGTCTTTGGCTGTCCAAGAGTGATGGAAGTCACATTCCTGGCTGCATTCATAGTTACATAGCTGAAAACAAACTTGCGTACATCAAGTTCAGCCTTCCTCACATATGTTTTTGCTGTTGATCCAAAAGAAGGTGAAAAAACCCAATCCGTTAAGCGCTTCCAATTTTGCAGACTAGGAAAAAAATCCTTTTGATCCCAAAATGGCAGTCCGATATCTCCTTGGATCCAGTAGCTATTACCCCACTAATTAGAAATGATATCCCTGTATGTTATTGAAATGGAAAAATCAATCAAGGTATTGATTATTTCTTTGTGTATCTGCCCCTGGCCAAATCAATGAAACAATGCGTGCACGCTCCCTAAAGTAATTCACACCAGACACAGGTTCCAGGTTGTTGAATAACTTGAGGAAAGTTTATTCAGAGGGGCCGGCAGGTCCCTTTTAAAGCAAAATTACATCATAAGCATTGTCAGAGATAACATGGAATAATACATCAATAATTGGTTAGGTGTTAAGTGGTCTTCCTAATGCTCTGCCTACTGAGGGTGATGTCACCAGGACCATGAGGGTCTCCCACGGTTTCCCGGCGCCATCTTGCCGCACGAGGTAGTTAGTCGGTGTTAAAGGGAGAAAAGGGGGGGGAAGGGGTTAGAAGCTTCTAGCAGCCATCTTGGTTAAAATATGTGTGTATAGCTTTATAATGTATATCGTGGAATGAGTAAATAGACATTTTCACTAACTAGGAAATATGTGCAGACCTTATTTCCACAACAGTCCCCCCTAAAATGGCTATTTACTATGACAACTGCCACTGTCCCTAGTGTATCCCTAGCTGCCTGCAGCTCATCTGTCTTCACAAGCATCAAACTCTTCACTGCGTGGGTAACCCGCAGTAGCTAGTCCACCACATCTCCACACGTGAGACTTGCCCGCAAAGACAGACGCTTTCCCTATACTGTCCCTACAGAAATGCAGTTGTCTGTTTAAACTGATGTGACTGAAGGGGTGTATGTGGAGTGTCATCTTCGAGGTCTGTGATGTCTTGATGGAGGAAGGTAGGAGTCACGTCATCTATAGTCTTCCCTACTGCTTTCTGTAAGTACTTCTGTATGCAAGGGAGCACACAACAGGTTAGGAATAAGAAGATGATGATCATTATAAGAACAGCCGTTCCTACCTGGAAGAGGGTCCTTTGCCATCCATTCATCCACCCAAACCATCTGTCCCAAGTGTCAGTGACCCCTGAGTTCTTTTTTAGTTCGTCGGAGAGGCTATCTAGCTTCTCTATGGCCATAGTTACCTTACCATTTGGCCCAGTGTTGTCTGGAATGAATGTGCAGCATGTCATAGTTTCAGGGAGGATCTTACATACACCCCCTTTCTCAGCTAAAATCATATCTAGGGCCATTCTATTCTGAAATGTCATTTGAGTAGTGGCTTGTAATTGCTCTGCCAGGCCCTGTAGGGCATCCCTTGTGTAATTAACAAAGCGCTGTTGATTATAATAGATGTAATTAATCCAATTGACATTCTTATTAGCAGTTATCATTGGAATCAAGGATTCAAATCCTGCTGCCACTTCATCCCTTGCTTTGAATTCGCTAGGCACCCCCCTTGGCACACCAATGGCATCAATATACACATGGGGGTCGAAGCTCCCTCGGATGGTGGCCTCACGTTTGGTTCTAGAATGTACGTGTGTGTGGTCTAGTGTGTTGTGGCTACCATCTGGAATAATGTGGATGGGCATTATAACTTTGGTTAGGGCACACTCCCCCCACCATTTCCCAGCTAGTTGGGACCTCAATTGCCTGTCACCACATAACCAATAGATATAACCGATTGTCTTTGCATGATTCATTAACAGTGACACAGGCGGGCTATGGTAGGTTGAGCAATATCCAGATGGGAATTTGCCCAGATACACACCAGTATTCTTAGGTATTGAATAACATGTGTAATTACCTGGGTATACTGTGACTCCATCAGGTGGCTTGACATATCCATGAGTGATTGGGTAAACCCTTTTCCATGATTCACATGTTGAGGAATTTGTGGTGGACTGTGCATAGAGACTTAAAACACATAGTTCTACTTCAGGAGGCAAACTTAGAGGTACCGTGCCCAGATGGGGCCTAGCTCCCCCACATACCTAGCAATTTGTCTTATTGTGTGAGTTGGCATTATACCTCATCCATTCTAGCCACAAATTAGTGTCTGAAAACCCAGTCTCCACTGCCATAGTGTCTTCAAAGGTAGGGTTGGCTATAGCTACCATGTCATGTAGAGTCTTAATATGTGGTTTTAACGGGTTAATAGTCATGTGAGTGGTTCCTACGCAGTCTGGTGAGGTGAACATGTCCTGTAGGTAGAATGTCCCCAGTTTATTATGTGAACCACCTCCCTTCCAGTACATTCCCATTACATATTCCCCTGCGTCTTTTGGGCTGGGGTGCTCTATGTTCAAAGTAAGCTTAATAGGAGTTGACCCTATGGGTTTGCTCAAGGTCATTCTGGAAAGTAGAGGCTTCCCGTCTTTGTCAAGTCTGTCCAATGCACTCTGGGGTCTGTAGCCCCATGGTCTACCCGTGTTCCACCCGGCAGCTTTCCATTAACTACAATGATGTCCTCAAACTCCTCCAGTTACACAAATGTATGGGTCCTTTCTGCTAGGTATGTCTTTGTATATGGCTGCATATTGTGTTTGTGGAAAGGTGCAAACAACTATGTCACAGTAATCAAAGGTGTATGTAGCTACGTCTGTGTTAGAAGAGTTGTACCAGAAAGTGTAGACATGATTATCTTTGGTTATGGCCACTTGTTGGGCCCAGGCAAAATGTAGCAGCATAAGAAAACACAAGACACATAACAAATTCATATTTCAGCAGGAGTAGCCTCTTCTGGTGCAGGCACTTTCTTGCAATGCGAAGCGTGTATCCAAGAACTCTTTCCTGCTAGCTTAACTGACGTTGCTGTGATCAGGAGCACTTGATAAGGGCCATCAAATCTTGGCTCTAGGGGTGTGTTTCCTGAGAAACTTCTTGACCATAACCCAATCACCGGAGAGCAGCTTGTGTGTACCTGTATTCGACTCAGGATCTGGAATAGAAGAAAACACTTGGGCATGTATTTTGGTCAAGGCATGTGAGAGGGCAGTCACATAGTCTACCATAGCATCTGACTGGATCTGAAGTTGTTGAGGAAAGTAACAACCTAGCCTGGGTGCTGTGCCAAACAGAATCTCATAAGGTGATAGGCTATATTTTCCCCTAGGAGTGTACCTTACGCTTAAACAACGCTAATGGGAGACTCTCGGGCCAGGACATGTTAATTTCCTGTGACATTTTAAGCATTCTGGCTTTCAAAGTGCCATTCATGCGCTCTACCTTACCACTACTCTGTGGGTGATATGGTGTGTGGAATGCAAGGGTCACCCCCAGTGCTGACCAGACTTCCCGTGTCAATGAGGCAGTAAAGGAGGTCCCATGGTCACTTTCAATCACTTCTGGAACTCCATATCGGCAAACAATTTCCGTTAAAAGGTACTTGGCCGTAGTTCTTGCTGTGAGATTAGTCACTGGGAAAGCCTCTGGCCATCCTGAAAACATGTCCACTATGACCAGTGCGTATTCATAACGTCCACTCTTTGGCATTTGAATATGGTCAATCTGGATCCTCTGAAAGGGGTATTGCGGCTTGGCTAGGTGGTTAGGTGGTCTTTATGATTTTTCCAGGATTACATTTAGCACATATTGTACAAGATTTACAGTAATTCTGTGTTAAGGTAGTGATGCCTGGTGCTTCAAAATACTTGTCAATCAATGAGTTCATCAGATGTTTTGACAGGTGGGCTGGCCCATGGGCCCATTGGACCACCGCTGGGTACATGTTTCTGGGTAGGCAAAACTTGAGATTAACAGTGTAAACATCATCACGGAGAACCGCTCCTCTGTTCTTCCAACTTTGTTTCTCTTGGGGGGTAGCAACAGCTTGTTGTTCCTTTAGAAGCCTAAGATCTGTAGGCAGTGTCTGCATAGTGTAAATGAGTACTGTGTCTGTGGCCACTCTTCTGTCCACTTCCCATCCTTGTCGTGCTGCTTCCTTAGCGGCCTGATCAGCTAAGTGGTTGCCCCGTGCTTCTTCTGAGTCTAGTCGTCCGTGGGCTTTTACTTTTAGTACTGCCACCTCTGCTGGAAGTTCTAAAGCATCCATCAGTTCTGCAATGGCTGCCCCATGTTTCACTGGGGTACCGGTAGCTGTAAGAAATCCTCTTGTTTTCTAAATTAGACCAAAGTCATGTGCTACCCCCAGGGCATATCTTGAGTCTGTATAGATATTGACACGTAGACCTTCAGACAATTTGCAGGCCACAGTTAGGGCTGTCAACTCTGCTTCTTGGGCAGACTTGGTTGGTTTTAGGGCAGCTGCTTGTAATACTTGACATCCTGTGGTGACTGCATACCCGGTGTGGTATTGTCCCTGTTCATCAGCAAATCTTGAGCCGTCTACAAATAGTGTTTGGTCTGGGTTAAGTAATGCAGCTTCATAGACAGTTGGCAGGTGTGTAGTTTCCATTTTCATTTGTTCGAAACAATCATGGGGAATATCGAGGTCGCAGTCTATGATGAGTGGGTCTTCACAGACTTCTGTGTGGTACCTAGGGTACCCTGTTGTACAGTAATTAATAGTCTTTTTGGTGATCCCCATAGAGGTCAGTTGTTCTCGATTCATTTGACTCCAGGTCTTGGCCATCGGGCCTAGGTCTTTCCATAGTGTCAGGGGATTTGGTGAGGGATATGTGTGGGACAGCTGTTTCCCAATGATGGTAGAGATGTGTCACGTTCTCTGGGAGATGGACTAAGATGAGCATGGTACCTGTGGGGTCCCATAACAAGTCAGTCAGAGTAATTTGAATTTCCTTGAGTTGGAACAATTCTTCCTCATAGTTCATATCAGGGCCTGGTCTGTCCCTAAACCACAAAGTGCAGTGGAGTAAAGTCTCTGATTGTTCATCATGTGGGGGTGCAAGGGCAGGCAGCTGCAAATCTGATCAAACCTCTGGGTTGATGTCCAAGCTATACCAATACTGCACAATTCCCCCCTTGGGAAGTGGCAGAAGAGTGGCCGGGTTCAGGGAGAAACACCGTTGAAGTTTCACATTGTCAGGTAACAGTAAAGATGTTTGGAGACGAAGGTGGCGTTGAGAAGAAAGGTGCTTAGGTTGAACTTGTTGCAGGATAGCAGTAATGTCATGAGGCGCCAACACCGTGAGGTGGTGACCAAGAACAAAATCATTGGTCTTGTCCAAGAGGGCACTGGCAGCAAACACCGCTCTGAGGCAGGAGGGACTACCCCTAGCCACGGGGTCAAGCATGCAGGAGAAATAGCCAATGGGCCACTGTCTTGAACCATGTTTTTGGGTAAGGACTCTGGAAGCATGTCCAGACTTCTCTGAGAAAAACAGATTGAAGGGTAATTGGTAGTTTGGGAGGCCCAAGGCAGGTGCTGAAGCAATAGCTCTCTTCAGACTGTGAAAACAGGCAATAGCTTCTTCAGAGAGATGGAAGGGCTCACTCCTGAGGGTATCATAGAGTGGCTGCATGAGCTTTGAGGCTTCGGGTATCCAGGACCTGCAGTATGTAATGAGTCCCAAAAAGGCATGAAGAGTCTGGTGTGCTGCAGGTAGTGGGAGTTGCAAAATAGCTTGTACACGTTGTGAAGTTAAATGTCTGGTGCCAGGAAAGTCTGGAAAGACAATGTCCCAAGAAGACCACGGAGGGCCGGCACCATTGCAGCTTGGATTTGGAGGCTTTGCAACCGGCTTCAGCGAGGAAACATAGGAGATCTTCTGAGTCTCGCTCTGCAGTAGGAAGATCAGGAGCACAGAGAAGGAGATCATCAACATATTGAAGTAGAACAACATCAGAGTGAGATTTTTGCCAGGGTTCTAGAACCAAAGACCTGGCATGAGCAAACTGTGTGGGGGAATTCTGGGCCCCCTGTGGCATGACAGTCCAGGTGTATTGTTGTCCTTCGTGGGTAAAAGCGAAGAGAAAGCGACAGGAAGGGTCTAGAGGCACACTGAAAAAGGCATTAGCCAGATCCACTACAGTAAAAACTGTGGCAGTAGGTGGGACCTGGGACAAGAGAGTATGTGGATTTGGAACAATGGTAGTATCTTTGACAGTTACTTCATTGACAGCACGAAGGTCCTGGGCCATTCTGTACTGGTCAGGTTGGCCTTTGGCAGTTCTCTTCTTGACGGGAAAGAGAGGGGTGTTACATGGAAACACATACTTAATAAGAGCACCTTTGGCGAGCAGGCTTTCAACTTGTTTGGTGATAGCTTCAGCTTGCGCAGGTTTCAGAGGATACTGTGGCCTACGGGGAGGTAATGCTCCAGGCAAGAGCTTGACCACAACGGGGGGTACCTGTAAACATCCGATGTCATCCGGGCCGGTGGACCAAAGTTTGTGTGGGATACGGTCCAGAGCACTGGGGTTTTGTGGGACCCGTGAATTCCCTGTATTGTCAGTGAGGTTTAATAAAATGGGCAGCGAGCAGAGTACAGAGGTGTAGTTAACTGGACCTGACCATCAGCAGTAAAGGTAATGGAAGCCTGGAGCCGAGAGAGAACATCAGCACCCAAGAGGTTAATGGGACAGGTAGAAGAAACAACAAACCGGGAGAGTATATGTGAACCAACATACAGGAGTTTAGTGAGGGGATTACTGCGGGGTGTACCATCCACCCCAACACAGAAGACATCGGTGTCAGATAAAAAGGAGGGGTCAGGCAGGTCTTGTTCCCTAAGAACACTACGGGTTGCACCTGTGTCGACTAGAAAGGTAGTTGGGTGACCCTCAACGGGGAGAACTACAGTAGCTAGGGGCCCTCCCCCCTCCCCTGCAGACACTGCCATGGCAGGGGTTGCTGACACAGGCTTGCCGGTTACCTATTGCAATAAATCTAAGTGGGCCTGGTCGGGTCCTTGGTACCGGCGGGAAGACGTGGGAGGGTGGCTAGGCTGCATAGCAGGACAGGCAGGGCGGGTCTGTCGAGACTGGGTCTGATTGTCATGAAAATCATCCGTGTCAAACCCGTCAGCAGTAGCCGGAGGATAGGCACGAGTCTCTGGAGCAGGGAGCCGGGCCTGGGTATATTCGGGAGGAGGAGGGAGCTGAGGCAAATGTGGGTGAGGCAGGGCATGGAGATAACCTGTAGAGGGGTAGCCATAGGTGGTGGTCTGTGGATTAGTGTACCGGGGAGGTTGCGGGCGGAGCACCCTGGGGTGGGGGCATTCCCTTCTGAAGTGGCCAGTTTGATTACAGTTGTAACAGGTCCTGTTAGTCGGGAGGGTCCGGTCCTGGGTAGAGGGACCAGATGCAGGAAGTGTTTGGGGCAGCTGAGTGTAGTGTTGAGCAAATACCTGAGGGACATGGGAAGAACCAGTGATTGGTGTAGGTGTAGTGAACATCAGTGGGCTAGCTCTCCTCTGTGTAGGTTGTAAAACAGATTCTAAACCCTTGGCCACTAACAAGAGGGTGTCAAGTGGAATAATTCTGTACTCTGGACGAGATAAAATTAACCCCTTGCGAATATGCTCCTTAAGACCAGCCACGAAGGCTGCAGATAACATCTGAGTGTGTGCTTTGTTATAGGCACTAAACCCTAAGTCCGAGAAAGTCTGAGTTAATCTAGAGTGATACTTCTCAACAGTCTCAAGTTTATCCTGTATAATGTCATTAATACATGTAGCCTGATCAGCTAATTTATCCTGTGCCCAAGCTCGGAGTTGTTCACAAAAGACTATACCAGAACGATAATCTGTGTCAGAAGTAAGTGGAGCATCATTAAAGCTCCTTGCCATGATTGGCCAGTAAGCATCCCCAGCTTTAATTTCACACAAACTCAAAAGGTCCCGCCATGCAGCAGAATATGTCTTCCGAATCTGAGCCATTCTGCGGAAAAAGGGCATGGGATGCTTTTCAGGATCAGGGAGAGAGGTTACAAGGGTAGCGGCTTGGGAGGGGTTAAATGTGACATACATTGGCGGTGCACCATCAGCTCCAGGGTTAACCTGGGTGTAACCCTGGGGGACAGATTGCCGTGGTGGAAGCCTATCTCCCCCTGGGTGAGGTGAATTCTGTTCTTCCACATCGACCTCCTCGGGTGCCGCGGTGAGGAGTAGTCTCAGGGGAAGCCATGGCTGGAGCGGCCGGGAGGCCGGTGATGGGTGAAGTGGTTGGGTGGAACCCCGAGGCCGGAGGGGAGACGCCCACCGCATAGGGTTGGTCCGACGTTACTGACACACCGGACCCAACCACCATGATTGGGCAACTAGAACTAGCAGGGGGAGTATAAGGTACCAATGCCGTGGAGGGGGTGGGTGCAGGGGCCGGCTGGGATGGACGTGACAGGTGAGTGTTAAGGACGTGAGCGAGAGCAGAGATTAGATCGGAGGGCTCGGGGGGAGTGGTGGTAGGCAGGGAAGGGTTTGGGGGGATAGGAGGAGGAGGAGGAGGAGCAGGAAGAGGAGGAGGAGGCAAATCCATAGGGGGCGGGGAGGGGGTAGCAGAATGAATCAAGCCCGTGACAGCGGAGAGGAGGGCGGATATGGAGGTAGACAAGTCATTGGAGGTGGTTGGTTCGGGGGTCACGGGGGGAGGGATAGGGGAGGCAGGAACAGGGGGTTGGGTTACAGCAGTTAGGGCAGAGAGGAGGGACGACAAATCGGCAGGGAGGGAAGGAGATGACGAGGTAGACGGAGGTGACGTAATAGGGGCGGGTATATCAGGTGACGGTGATGACGTGTGGTCGACGGGCGGATCTACCTGGAGATTGGGGGGGGTTGGTTCTGGGAGTGTTGCAGGAGGATGGGACAAGGCGGAGAGGGCGGTTACTAGTGACGTAAGGTCAATGGAAGGAGGAGTGGTAGAGGAAGGGCCACGAGTGGCGGTGTGTGAGGAGACAGAGGCGGGGGAAACAGAATCTGTAGGCTGGATAAGGTTTATGAGAGCAGAGAGCAGGGATGAGGGGTCGTTAGAAGTAGCAGGAGAAGAAGTCGGAGGGGATAGAGAAGTTGAGGTGGCGGAACGGGTTAGTTTTGAAAGATTATAGAAGAAGGAGGCAAGGTCTGATGGGGATGGGGAAGGGGTGGGAAGGGCAAGAGGGGGAGGAGGAAAGGGATCGAGAGGCACGTTTGGGAGAACAGGTGAAGTGGGTGTAGTTAGTTGGGTGGAGGATGAAAGTAGGGAGAGAAGAGAAGAAAGGTCCGAGGGTGGAAGAGGAGAGGGATCAGCGGGAGGACAAGGGTCTGGGGGATCTGAAGTAGTGAGGGCAGAGAGCAGGGACGAGAGATCAATGGACGGAGACGGGTGAGCGGGCGTCTCTGGGGAGGGGCCAATCGGGGTGGAGAGGGGAAGAGAGGAGGCGGGGACCTCTGTGGGCGGGGTAGGAGCTGATGGGACAGGATCCGGACTAGGGGCTGAGGTGGAGGCAAGTGTAGGTAGAGGGGGCGGAGGACAGGAAGGTGGGGGAATGTCAATGGACGTAACGGGGGGAGGGGCGGGGGATAGGGCATGGGGCCTGGTCGGGAAGGGGCTGGAGCATAGGGGTGGGTGGGAACGTATGGAGTGGCACAGGATAATAGTAAGCGCCATCGGCTCCGAGCACGGGGCACAAGGGAGTGGGGGCTGGAGCCACACCTCCAGGGGGAGGAGTCTGAGCAATGACGGGAGAAGCAGGGTGGGAATTAATGGTCACGCTCTGGGCGCCATCATAGGGCGGTGGCTGGGGGACAGTGACAGGAACATCATCATTGTTAACATTCCTATGGTACACATGCACAATTTGTCCTTCGAAGTCTAATTCCTCCTCAATCCATCCCTCCCTCCCGCTTGAGACCTCAGGCCACCCGATACCAAGCCTCTACAGCCTTCGTAAGCCCATCATCCAACAGCAATCCCTCCTTATCTATGAGCAATTTCCCTTTCAAAACTCGGGTTGCAATCTCCCACTAGGTGACATCTGGAAACCACACACTTTAGCAATCTTTTTAATCTTTAACATAGCATCTTCCCCCGCCCTTTCTTTCACAATATCACAAGCCAACAATCCCTTAGCAGGTCTAGCATGTTCCTGCCCCATCTTGATCAACCGGAGTGAGCCACGTGTGGAGGGACAGATTTACAGAGAAAAAGAGGAATGTCTACAGTGCTCGACTGCCACGAGGACTTGAGTCCCGTGCGTCTTCCCAAAACGTAGACTAGTCACAGGGGTCCGCCCACCTGGGGGGGTGGTGGTCACGGACCGGAGCGAGCGTGGGTGACTAACACAGCTCTGGGCAGCAAACACAGGAGAGATAAAGGACAAATGAAAAGATGAACGTAGCTACACTAACAAGAAGACATTTGCAGAAATCACACACACAGAGATGAGTGTAAACCCCCGAATCCAGAACTAGCCACACAACACACACACACACACCGAGGGTACCCACACTGTAACAGCAGTTGAACAAGAACCACAGAATGACAGAAAGTAAAATGGCCATGTACATGTTAACTTCACCAAAAGCAAATATGCAAATTGCGGCAATCCCCAGCCCTTCCCCACTGGGCTGGCCCCCCTGTAACACGATTATTAACGAAACACAGCAGTTATCAAACTAAATCCCAGCCCTCTCTGGCTGTAATGCGTCCCCTGCCCGCTAGGCAGTCAAGCTAAATCCCAGCCCTCACTGGCTGTAATGCGTCCCCTGCCCGCTAGGCAGTCAAGCTAAAGTTTCTAGAAGGAAAACACATGCACCGGCTGTCACACACATTCAAATAAATACAGGAGGCAGATAGACAATCGACAGGTTCGCTTAAAAAGGCACACCAGATGAGTTAATTACCTGTCTCTAGTAGCCTTCTGGGAGCCGGAAGTGGACTCGGAGGCAGACCGACACAAAACAGGAGAATAACACAGGCAACGGCTGTATTATGGAGGTGATCAGGCTCCGCTTGTCCCACTTTCCGGAGGTCCGCTCCGGTCCGTTGGTTTCCGGCCCTCCGAACCGGCGCTCCGGTGGCCCCACGTTGGGCGCCAATTGAAATGGAAAAATCAATCAAGGTATTGATTATTTCTTTGTGTATCTGCCCCTGGCCAAATCAATGAAACAATGCGTGCACGCTCCCTAAAGTAATTCACACCAGACACAGGTTCCAGGTTGTTGAATAACTTGAGGAAAGTTTATTCAGAGGGGACGGCAGGTCCCTTTTAAAGCAAAATTACATCATAAGCATTGTCAGAGATAACATGGAATAATACATCAATAATTGGTTAGGTGTTAAGTGGTCTTCCTAATGCTCTGCCTACTGAGGGTGATGTCACCAGGACCATGAGGGTCTCCCACGGTTTCCCGGCGCCATCTTGCTGCACGAGGTAGTTAGTCGGTGTTAAAGGGGAGGGGGAGGAGGGGGTTAGAAGCTTCTAGCAGCCATCTTGGTTAAAATATGTGTGTATAGCTTTATAATGTATATCGTGGAATGAGTAAATAGACATTTTCACTAACTAGGAAATATGTGCAGACCTTATTTCCACAACAGTTATGTTTTTGCAAGTATTTATCCAATTGCTGTTTAAACACCTGTATGGACTCTGATAAAACTTTTCTTTGCCTTTGATTAAATCACAGCATATTCAAGGTGTGGTCTTACCATTGACTTTTATAAAGAGGCCAAATTATATTTTCATCCAGAGAATGTATGCCCCTATTTATACCTGACAAAACCTTACTGGCCTTAGCAACTGCAGATGGACATTGCATATTGCTGCCTTATTTGTCTTTTAACAATTCCCAAATCCTTCTCGTGTGTTGTTACCCCTAATTCACTATCATTTAGGGTGTAAGTTGCTTGTGCATCCCCCTACCCCCCCCTCCCTTTTGTCATTTAGGGCCCCCACTTGCCGCTCATGAGTGAGTGCCAGACTGAGGCAGTAGGTAACCCACCCCTTATCACATAGGGCCCCCATCTGCCGCTGACCTCATACGCGACAGGCAATCCAAAATGTTCAAGTACATTTCAGTTAATGCAGGGGAGTCCACCAATAAATATGGTTAAAAAAGGGAAAAACCTGCATCTGACAGAAGGGGAGAAAAAACAAAAATGTTTGTTGATAAAGCATCAGTAGTTACTGTTGTTTTTTTTATTTTTTATATTTTTGTTTTTCCTCCCCTTCTGGCAGATGCTTGTTTTTTTTTTTTATGCGTTTTTTAACTTAGGGAGAAAGAGACTGCTTTCAAGGGAAACTATAGTGACAGGAAAACAGTTCACTATAGTCTGGTTGACAGCTGCAATAATTACAATTGCAGGTTTAAACTGACAGAGGCACTGCATCCAGACCATATCAATGAGCTGAAGGTCTGGGTGCCTATAGTGTTCCTGTAAGAAGTATGAAGGTGTTTATAAAAAAATACCCCTCTCTGTCTCATTAGAGATTTTACATTATAGCTGAGGACAGCAAGGTGAATTGTTGGTGTAGGACTCCCCTAAGAAGAGGGTTTTGTCTTGATGTGGCAGGTGAGCTTACACTTAAATGGCCATTGGAGTGATACTAAAAATCCCTTCTGTAATTAAATTGTGCTCTAGTAACTTTTTTTTTTTTTCTTTCTTTCTTTTGGTTTTTATTGTACAAATTGCGGCTGATGTTTACCAAAGTCATTGCTGCTGCCCAGGAGTAGTCAGAGTTTAAGCGCAGTGCTTAACTATGTTAATGTTTATAAGGCTCTGAAGGAGCCTAAATTTGGTACAGATTTCAGCTGGGCTGATTGGCTGAAATGCAAAACCTAAATTTTTAGAATCTGGACATGGAACCTTCAAATCCGGTTTCTAGACTTCAACATTTCAAACTATATGTCCTATTTATCACTAATGTCTTAAAGCATAGTATTTAGCAGGGCTAACCTCTCTTAACTATAATATTATATAAAGGTGATACTCAAAAAATTAGAATATCTTGCAAAAGTTAATTTATTTCAGTAATGCAACGTAAAAGGGGAAACTAATATATGAGGGCAGTTTTACATGCAAAGCAAGATAGTTCAAGCCGTGATTTGTCATAAGTGAGATGATTATGGCTTACAGCTCATGAAAACCCCAAATCCACAATCTCAGTAAATTAGAATATTGTGAAAAGGTGCAATATTCTAGGTTCACAGTGTCCCACTCTTATCAGCTAAGTAAGCCATAACACCTGCAAAGGGTTTCTGAGCCTTTAAATGGTCTCTCAGTCTGGTTCAGTAGGAATCACAATCATGGGAAAGACTGCTGACCTGACAGTTGTGCAGAAAACAATCATTGACACCCCCCATAAGGAGGGAAAGCTTCAAAAGGTAATTGCGAAGGAAGTTGGATGTTCCCAAAGTGCTGTATCAAAGCACATTAATAAAAAGTTATGTGGAAGGGAAAAGTGTGGAGGAAAAAGGTGCACAAGCAGCAGGGATGGCCGCAGCCTGGAGAGGATTGTCAGGAAAAGGCCATTCAAATGTGTTGGGGACTTTCACAAGGAGTGGACTGAGGCTGGAGTCAGTGCATCACCACACACAGATGGATCCTGGACATGGGATTCAGATGTCGTATTCCTCTTGTAAAGCCGCTCCTGAACAACAAACCATGTCAGAAGCATCTTTCCTGGGCTAAAGAAAAACAGACCTGGTCTGTTGCTCAGTGGTCCAAAGTCCTCTTTTCTGATGAGAGCAACTTTTGCATCTCATTTGGAAACCAAGAACCCAGAGTCTGGAGGAAGAATGGAGAGGCACACACTGCAAGATGCTTGAAGTCCAGTGTGAAGTTTTTATAGTCTGTGTTGATTTGAGGAGCCATGTCATCTGCTGGTGTTGGTCCACTGTGCTTCATTAAGTCCAGGGTCAACGCAGTCTACCAGGAGATTTTGGAGCACTTCATGCTTCCTTCCGCAGATGAGCTTTATGGGGATGCTGTCTTCATTTTCCAGCAGGACTTGGCACCTGCCCACACTGCCAAAAGCACCAAAGCCTGGTTTAATGACCATGGGATTACTGTGCTCGACTGGCCAGCAAACCCGCCTGACCTGAACCCCATAGAGAGGGGCATTTGCAAGAGAAAGAGACAGAATAATGCAGAAGAGCTAAAGGCCGCTATTGAAGCATCCTGGTCTTCCATAACATCTCAGCAGTGCCACAGGCTGATAGCTTCCATGCCTCGCCGCATTGAGGCAGTATTGCTCAAACGGGGCCCAAACCAAGTACTGAGTCCATATGCATGCTTATACTTTTCAGAGGTCAGATATTGTTCTATGTACACTCCTTGTTTTATTGGTTGCATGTAATATTCTAATTTACGGAAATTGTGGATTTGGGGTTTTCATGAGCTGTAAGCCATAATCATCGCACTTATGACAAATCACGGCTTGAACTATCTTGCTTTGCATATAATGCGTCTATTTCATATATTAGTTTCCCCTTTTACGTTGCATTACTGAAATAAATGAACGTTTGCACAATATTCTAATTTTTCGAGCATCACCTGTAGTTAGTAAAAGTTCCTCTATTTAAGATATATATGTATATATATATATATATATATATATATATGTGTGTATATATACATAATTGAGAATACAATAAATTGAGATTGTCTTGGAAGTTTTATTTATTTTATTTTTTTATATTTCATTAAAAATTTAAATACGGGGGGTGGAGCTTGCCTTCCAAGAGCTCCTGCATCTGGGGCCAAGATTCAGGATTTATTGCCTGGCCACTCTGTATTACTGGCTACAATTAGCATTTTTCTTGACCAGGGGACAACACTGTACCCAGGGATACCGAAGTCAAGGTTCCCCACCACTGAGTTGTCCAAATCGTGGCCTGCGGCCTGTACGAGTGGTAGCCGAGGAGAGACTGCTGCTTTCCCGGTTCTCTGGCTGGCGGAGTGACACCTGTATTTCGCTACTCCTCCCCCCTTTTGTCAGGGTCTTACCTGGGTTGGGAGTCTGTAGCGCAGATATGTTGCTCACCCTTGCAGATAGCCACAGGCCAAGGTGGTCAGGTAAGAATTCACCCGGCCTGTGGGTCTGTGCAAGGGGGCTGTGCAGGATGAAGTACCAAGTTGCAGGATAGGCAAGGGCTCAAACAGGATCGTCAAGGGATAGCTGAGGTCAAAGGATGCCAGAGGACAGGAACAATCCGTAGCCGAAGTCAAGGGATGCCAGAGGTCAGAGTAAACGTAGTCAAGTAGCAGTTCAAACGACAGGAACACTGGTACGAAACACACAACAGGATCAAAGACTTGATCCTGATCACAGGGTGAGGCTGAGTTTAAATACCCTGCTGATGTCTGATCAGAGTCAGATGAAGCACAGCCAAAGTCAAGGTGCAGCCCCCAGAGTAATGCCAGGATGAACGAGACCGGAATGTGGAATACAAAATACTTGTGGAATACAAAAGCTGCTGTGGCTCAGAGGCAGGAAGCAGGACCAGAACTGCGAAGTTCCCTGGTTCAAAGTTCCCCTTGGGTGACCACGTCTGGCCATCTGTCTGCTGCGGTGAGAACCGTGACACCTTTGGACCGGTAGGGGTTATCCCGGTCCCCACTGACCAGCTCCACATACCTTTGCAGACTTCCAGCAGCTGTTAATACCCGCAACACACTCCAGCAAGATGGCGGATGCGCTTAGGTCCTCTGAGTATCGTCTACCACAGCACGTACAAAATCAAAATCAACCTAGCGCAATTGAACAAATGACAAAGCACCTTAAAGACGACTTTGACCACTTCTGGGCATGATTTGGAGGCTCATGTTATGTCAGCACCAGTTTGGAGTCATGAGGGAGAATGGAAAGAGGAGAGCCGACAAGCGATTATGTCCCCATCACGAGCACCTGTATACCCTAACAGAGGCCTACCTGGACTGAAACCCACCAGGGTTACAATCCCTAAGCATTGACCACAGATGTGGAAGATCCAATGCCGCAGGCAGCGACAGACCATCTGGAGGGAGTTGGACTCTACCACGAGCCCCCGAGTCTGCGGTTCTAGGATGCAGGCTCTCGTTATGGCCTGGGGCGTTATTGCAGCGCCTCTCGACTATCTCCATGTGTTCCTTAGTCTGGGAGTTGGTTGATGCTGAATCTCTTATCCAGGACTCATTGCATTCCTGACCGCTGCAGGCATTCACATGTCCTTGTTTTTCAATTTGTGCAGTAATCTTGATTTTTGCTTTGCTATAAATCTTGCAGCACAGTACCAAAAAGTTATGTATTAGTGGCTATCTTACATGCTCACCATGCAGCTAGTTTTGCATTTCTTAATATGCTTATTTACAGCCATAGTGCCTACCTTGCTTCCCCCCCCCCACTCTTAACTATGATTTATCTAGGAAGGTGTTGCATAGAGAAGGGAAGTTGAGCTTCAATGGTAATCCAAACTCTTTTGTCTAGCTTGCTATATATCATCTTTCCACGCAAGTAACTTATTACATTATTTAGCCTGTTATACGCTGACTAATATAACCCAACACTCACCTTGTCTAGTCTGTACTTTCGGTTAGGTTGTCTTCTCTGCATCTCATATCTAGACATGCTTGACTAGCTTGCCTATTTACAGAACCACACACAAAAAAAATGTTCGGAATGTATCATGCTCATTGATGTAAATTAAGTTTGTCTAGCATCTATTTATTTATTACTGGCATTTTATAAAGTGCCAACATATTCCACAGCGTTGTACAATTGGAAAAGACAACAAAATAAGAACAGATCAATACAACAGAGGGCACTGCCCGTGAGCTTACAATCTAAAGGTTAAACTGTATGTGATGGCAGAGAGTTAATAGTATAACTGCATCTATTTGCTGAGCCTGTTTTATCTGTGTAAAATACCACCGTCTCAATCAAATAAAGATTGACAAAAAAAATATAAATACAGACATATAGTAACTTAATAATGCATTATAATAATTTACAGCAGAGTTTATAAGATTAGAGTACATACGTGCAATATCAGTAAAATAGAATAACATACCCTTTTGAAACAAGTCAACCTCTCAGTGTTTGTAAGATGGAGCAGCGTCTCTACATTCAAATTTCTCTCATCTGTGCCTAATATTAATAAGTATACATATTTTAGACTTTCAGTTAGGTCATTTTAGGAAAATTACAAGTCTTATGTAAAAACCTAGTCTTCCTTATTATTAAATGACATGGCCTTGGCTTCTCCGTTGTCTTAATCAGTCTATTGTCATGACCTAGACATCTTATCTGTGTTTTAGACTAAAACGTATGGTTGTACATGATCTAGGTAAGGCCTTGACTTGGTGTCACATTAACAATGACCTCTTAAGTCTGAAAATATTCTTTACATATCTGGTCTATTTGATAACTAAAGGGACATTGTATGAAAAGCTATATCTTCCATTTCCAACAATTGGTCTGTTTGCAGCATACTTTAAAGGCAAATTACACAGTTTAATATTTGATAATGCCCATAACACCCTCTCCATTAAACAGTGGGCATCATAGAGCATTTCTTCTTCATATTGGTAATCAAGAGTTCCCCAACAGTGTTCAAGTTTTTCATGCTACCAATGTCTTTTGATCCTGGTAATCAAATGGAAAACCTCCCTAGCGTGACTTGCATGTAAAAGATGGCTGGTTAAAAGTGAACAAAGCTGTTTACTGGGAAATAATAAATACCGAGTTCCAGATTAAGATACTCTTAGACGGATCCTGATCGTTATAATAATGCAAGGTATTCAAAGGCCTGTAGTAGTTCAGATTTCACTGATACATTGCTGGAGGTGGTGTTTGTAGAACATCGGGTATTTGGCAAGCATTGTTGCAGAGAATGTTTTTCATTCTGTGATACATTTCTTACACAACTTATGATGTGTATACATTGAATATCGATAATGACAATAATGATATTCTTTTATGGACTAAATTATTTGATAGCATTTACAAGATATTGCCTTAAAGGACATAGGTCCCGTTATAGTGCATGTTATATTTATATAGCAATCCAAGCGGCATCTTAAGAGCGCCTCTTTTTGCTGGTATTGGAATATTGGTAACACATCTACATGTCACTGATACACATATAACGACATCAGGTGCTGTTGTGCAAGAGATGTTAACAGGTAAAATCGGCAGAAAAGCTTTACATTTGTTATACTTTATATAATAATGATGAAATAGTAACATATTTAATCTTCCTAGTGTTTTGTTTTAGGGATAAGCAACCTTGTATATGATTTCGATATATAAGGATTATTTGAAGCAGCAAAGTATGTACTGCATTTGTTCACAATGGTATGTGAAGTTACATTCACTTTAAATGTTAAAAATGCTCTTTTATTAGAAATCTCTTGATATTTTTGGAATAGTTTATAATTGGAAACAGGTAGTAATGAATACAATACAAAATAGGGATTATTTTGTCTTTTAAAATATTTTATTAAATATAGACATATAACCTAATAATCCATTATAATTTATAACATCGTTTTAAACCCCTTAACGCCCTGGGGAGGTCCAATTTACTTACCTCCGCCGCGATCCTCTTCGGTAGGGCTGCCTGACCGCCCAGGCAGCCCTCCCCTGGCGAATATGGCCCCCTATAGCTGGCTATGGATCTGCCATTAATATTAAAATACACTTAGAATGACATTACATATATATTATAGGTGTGTGTATATATATATATATATGTGTGTATGTATATGTATATATATGTGTATATATATATATATATATATATATATATAATTACAATAATAAATTTAAAATAAATAAAATATTGAAACATAATTTAATATAAATTATCTATTCATATGCAATTTCATTCTAACTGTATTTTGTTATTTATATATGTGTGTGTGTGTGTGTGTGTATAACAAAATACACTTAGAATGACATTCTATATATATCTATATATAAAATACAAATAACCGCAAATATATATATACATATAATTACATAAAAGATTACATTAGTATACACGTAGAATTTAAATACCTATAAATGCATACATATAAAAATTCTATGTGTATATTTAATCTTTTAACATAATTATGTGATTTGATTAATTAAAATTTGATTGACATGCCTGACAACACAGGGAGAAAGTGCAGAGAATTTAATTCGCAAGCACTATATTTGACCCTGTAACTCTCCAAGACACCATAAAAACTGTACATAGGGAGCACTGTTTTACTCGGGAGACTTTGCTGAACTCAAATATTAATGTTTAAAACTGGTAAATTGTATTACAACGATGATATTTTAAGTAAAAGTGAAGTTTTTTTCGTTTTTACAAACAAACGGCACTTTTATGGACTATATTATTATTGTAATATGTTTTACTGTTTTAAAACACTAATATTTGTGTTTAGTGAAGTCTCCCAAGAATAACAGTACCCCCCATGTAGAGGTTTTATGGTGTTTTGGAAAGTTAGAGAGTCACATAAGGCTTGCATTTCGTTTTTTTGACATTGAAATTTGCCAGATTGGTTATGTTGCCTTTGAGAGCGTATGGTAGCTCAGGAATGAGAATTAACCCCATGATGGTATACCATTTGCAAAAGTAGACATCCCAAGGTATTGCAAGTGGGGTATGTCAGGTCTTTCTTATTAGCCACTTAGTCACAAACACTGGCCAAATATTTAGTTTTTTTTGCTTTTTTTCACACAAACAAATATGAATGCTAACTTTGGCCAGTGTTTGTGACTAAGTGGCTATTAAAAAAGACTAAACATACCCCACTTTCAATGCCTTGGGTTGTCTACTTTTTCAAATAGTATGCCATTATGGGGGTGTTTCTCATTCCTGGGCTATCACACCGTCTCAAAGGTAACATTACTAATCTGGCAAATTTCAATTTGAAAATGGAACGTTCTATATTTGACCCTGTAACTTTCCAAAACACCATAAAACCTGTTAATGGGGGGTACTGTTGTACTCGTGAGACATCGCTGATTACAAATATGTTGCGTTTTTTTGCAGTAAAACCTAACAGTATTATGACATTAACAGCTAAAATGTCAGACGGAAATACAAATTTAAAAAAATCTTATTTTCTAAATTTTTTTAAAATGTTATTAATAATAAATTATGTTCCATATATGAATAGTTAATGATAAATTAAAGCCCTGTTTCTCCTGAACAAAATGATATATAATAAGTGTGAGGGGACTTAATGTGACAGCGGTGAATTAAGGTTGAACAGACATATAGAGCAAATTCCAGTTTTTGTTTATGTTTTGTTTTGATCAGAACGTGTACTATTGACTCCGTCCTGAAGGGGTTAAGATTAGAGTATATATAATTGCAATATCAATAAACTAGATTAACATATTCTCATGAGCAAGTTAACCACTCAGTCATTGTAAGATGGAGCAGCAGCTCTGCATTAAACATTTTCTCCTCTGTGTCTAATATTAATAAGTAAAACAGAAGAAAAGGAACCGCACTGAACTCCACATAAAACCGGGTGCTTGCCGAAGCAGGACCAGCAAATCCAAACCACATAAGATAAAAACAAGGAAAAAAATCTTCAGGCACGCACGAAATTAAAGCCACAGGTAGATTTATTGGATCAGGAAAGCATAGCAACGTTTCGACTTATAAATAGGTCTTTAGCAAGCTTGATACACATATTTATACCTTAGACTTTCAATCGGATCATTTTAGGAAAATTCTTATGTAAAACCTAGTCTACCTCACCTTGGCAAAGAGACCAGGCCAAACATTAAGGGGACACTCAACATTACAACTAAAATTGGAATGTAAGCTCATTTAAACAGGCCCCTCAGCACCTTCTGTTCCTTTTATGTCAGAATTATCATGTAACTATTTTCTTAGTCCATCTATTGTACATCACTGCAGGATTTGTCTGCACTTTATAAATAATAATAAAATCCTTTCTTAAACTAAATTTTCAAACTCTTTATATTCGTCCCCCCCTCCTCAATGCTTTAGATGAAGGGTTAACCTGCTTTTAATCCGATGACGAGGGCTCCTCGTAGTTACTTTCTGCCAATCAGATCGTCATTATTGATCATCTGCAATCCAAGATTCTTTGAGAAATACTGATTGGACAAAGCAATCAGGAAGAGTACCCTCCCAACTGTCTAATTGTAACCAAGCACCTTTATAGACGTGCCAATTTCTCTTTACATTTTCAGCAAGCTATGCAGTTGGATTGCTGCAACACACAAAGAACTGAAAAGGAGAAGGGGGTTTACAATGCCTGTGACCTCTATAACCGCAAATCTCTGAATCTACAAGCTCTTAACTGGCCCGTCTCATAAGGGCTATTTTTGTCTATTAGGAGTAAAAAGAGGGCTGCCAGCCAATAACGGTGAAGTAGGCAACTTTCCATAGAGTTTAATCAGATTTTTGGAACATTATTATTTTATTTATTTATTTGCTCTACATAGCAACAGCAGAGGGCAAAAACAAGCGCAACTGCAGTACTAGTATTTAAAGGGATAGGACACATTTTATCACACAGACACATATTACAGGTGTATGTTTACACAGAAAAAAATTATATAGTTTTTTTTTTTGTTTTTTTTATTGCAAAAAAAACAAACTGGTGCGGCGCTTCCCCAGCTCCCCAAAAGAAGGAGCCTCCACTGGAGGGATAGTCTTACAGTGTGTGTGTATAGGGGACTGCTTGTGGTGTTTCTGTGAACATTGTGTTTACAGTGGGGCTGGATTGTGTGCAAGAGAGGGGTGACTGTGTGAGTGCATCATTAGCACAGAGTACGGTTATCCGAGTTACTGTTATCTGTGTGTTTATGAGGGTGACCGTGGTAGGGTTAATTGCAGGGTGATACGACTGTCTGTGAGGGGACTGGCTGTGGCATGGTTACTGTATGGACGGCTATTGTGGCGTGACTGACATGGTTACTGACTGTGTGGAGTGACTGACATGGCAACTGAGTGGGTGTGGGGATAATGTGACAGGGTAAACGAGTTTGTATGGCAGGGGTGATGTATGGGTGTGGGGGAAGTATATTGTTTGTGGGGAGGCAGTATTTCCCTGTTCAACCTCAAAACACAATGTTCTTTTTTATTATATATATTTTTTGCTGAGACTGCTGATGCTACCCTTTTTGCATTGAGGGGGCATTGATCCTTATTCCCTTCTTGCAACGTTCACTAGGTAACCCTAACACGCAGACAGGACAGAGTAGAGATAATTGCAATAACGATCCTTAGAATGGTTATGCAAAAAGGATAGTCAAAGGAAACAGACGGAATAACGAGAGACAAGGCTAAATATCAGTAACCAGGAAATGCAAATAACAAGTGCAACACTCAATTGTAAACCAAAGACCACAACAGGGTACAGAGGCAAGGGAGAGGTTGGCTTATATACACACAGGGTGTCTGATTGGTAACCTCCTATTAGTGTTAACCACAACACGTGGGAGGAGTTTCCTCCCTCCCATGTGGTCTCTGAGGTCATCACTGTGTGCCGTGTGACATGACCATGACATGCTCTGGAGCGTACATAGTCAGACACACTGCCAGTCTGGAGACAGGGACAAGGTGACGCTGCTCGGAGTGATGAGGTAAGCAAGGTCGCCCAGAGCAGCGCAGGGGCAGGTGACCTGACACTTCTGATCCATTTGGTGGTTCAGTGTCCCAGCTGAATCTGCCCTCTGGCTGAGAGCAGACCCCTCGGAATGCAACCTTTTGGTCTCTGCCTGGATTAGTTTGCAATAAACAAATTTCATCTACAATTATTTTAATTGTGTATGCACTGTTGTGGGGTTTCGTGTGCCGGTGCGAAGGGGTAATTGCAGCTTCCATAATCAAAGAGCCCCTAAAACATGGGGCTTACGGCTGATGAACTGGTGGACCACTAACCTTACTCAGGGGAAGGGCATGCAGCATTTCCGCTTATATATATTTTTTTTTTTTAGTTCCCTGTAATCAAAATTATTTAATAATTTATTTTTGGAATAATTGAAAATAAAATGATTTGGGAATCTTTAATTTTAGGAGTGGGAGAGTGGACAGGGGTGGAGCTGAAACTTCAGGTAACTTACTAATAACAATTTGACTAAAATGTGTTTCAGAACAATACATCTGATTTACACAGCCTGATTTCTAAACTCATTTATTGTAGTTTAAAGACACATTACTATGAGTTTTATATCTCTGGAGCTTTTTTATGCACTAAAGCCCACCAGCAATATAGAGCTCCTCGAAAAGAGGGCTAGAGGAACTTGGGCCAAAAATAGGGAACATTGTCCCTAAATAGGGATACTTTGTATGTATGATTTTATATAGGTTTTAAAAGAATCAGTAAAAAATGTTGCTCAACTCTTCAAATATCGCTAATAGTAAAACATTTGAATGAAAACGTTGCTTTTATAAATTGTAACCATATTCTCTTTATTTTACAGCTGTATAAAGATGGTTAAATCAAAGTCCTGGACAATGGTGAGGCACTTTGAAGGTGCCCCTAAACCTGAAGATTTTAAACTGGAAGAGCGAGAGCTTCCATCCCTTAAAGATGGAGGTAAAATGGAATTAGAATGTAGATCTTTTTCTGTAAATATTTTTTGTTTGTTTTAAATTACTTTCTGCACTATACTTTACAGAAATTTTAGGGTTATCTATGAAAGATGGTCCCCTCAAACCCACATCACTAGTGAAGCCCATATTGGGCAAGCTTGCCTGGAAAATCCCACTGACCAGGCTGTCCTTCAGGACCAAGCAGAGAGCACTGCTCAGTTACTCTGTGCTAATGATGCACTCACGCTGTTCTGCCCGGGCACAGTTCCCTGGTGTTCCCAGATATGGGACACCGTTGGACGGCAGGACAGGACCCCAGTATCGGGGCAGTTTGTCTTTAATACAGTGTGGGTTTTTGGGTCCAACTATAATATTTTTTTATTTTTTCTTGATCCCTTGTTTTATTTTAAACTTATCTTAAAGGGACACTGTAGGCACCCATACCACTGCAGCTCATTGAAGTGGTCTGAGTGCAATATCCCATGTCACTTAACCCACAGTGGTAATTATTGCAGTTTTTATAAATATAAAAATATATAGAGATAACTCCTCTACCAGACAGCCACTAGAGGGACTTCTGGGTGCTAAGATGACATTTGGTTGTCTAAACGATGCTGGACGTTCCTCACGCCATACATGAAAACTTCCAGCATCACCGGAATCCCCATAGGAAAGCATTGAATAATGCTTTCTTATGAGGAAATCCTAATGTGAATGCGGCCATTCTAAGCGCATTAGGTCTCCTCCGCCACCTGACATTGGCGGGGGAAGAGAGTGGGCAGAGCCTGACCCAGCTCCGAGGGACATCGGTCCTGCATTCAGGTAAGTGACTGAAGGGGTTTTTACCCCTTCAGTGGTGTGAGATGCAGGATTCTACAGTGTCAGGAAAACCGGTTTGTTGTCCTGGCACTAGAGAATAAGTTTTTCATGATCTACCAAATTACATTGAAATCCAAGTCAGTCCAGGCACAGCCAGGGCAGACATTTCAAATAAAACATTGCTTCTTTTCTCTTCTCAAATGTTGCAATTTAAATAGGTAATGATTTCTACATTTACTTTTAATTTTCACTCCTTACAAATACATATTTGTTTAAAAATATGGGAAAAGTAAACCTAATATTAAATATAGGGGACAAGCAGATATACAATTTAAAATCCTGGTACTGCTGGTTCTTCTTTAAAGTTTCCATTTTATACAACATAATAAATGTTGTCCTAAAATCATTGAGTGTATGGGATGTATATATGACCCTCTCTGTGGGTGGAGAAATCAGGACACCAGCAATTGGCATAACTCCCAACAATCAGTCATGTAGTACATGCTGCACAGCACAAGTGCTTTTAATGATGTGCTTGTCCTGTGCTGCCTGAGGACAGCTCCCTGGTGTCCCGCAACTAAAGCAGACATTGTCCTGCCAAAAGCAGGACTGTTAAGAGGCTTGCGATGGCACAGTGTGTTGGAACCCAAGACTGAAATTCAGGCAGTACAAAAATTGAGACATTCAGCAGACACTGGCATGTGAGATCAAATACTAGCATCTGCTACCCATTAGTGGACAAAGTGCCAAAAGTAATCGATTGTTGATCATAGAAATACAATGCTTCCCTTTGAGAAGCATTAGATTGGATGAGAAACCAAGGAAGCAACACATGAGGGACGATGTAAAACTTTTTTCATTTAATTTAGGGGGCCCCTACATATAAATACTGAGGAACGCTTGCTTGTATTTCTAACGCTATTGTGCTCCTTTAAGCTCAGAGCAAATCCTTAATATGTCAAATACATATACAGTATATCTGCACCACTGATGTTCACAGTTAGGATGCATGTTCAATTAATCTGCAGCACTTTTACGCCTAGACACCAAATTGTTCTTAGCCAATGAGCTAAGCCCTGAAATGCATTGCTTTGAAACTTCCAGCTCTACAGTGAGCTGTATTGGTTATGTTGCTTGGAGTGATCTTTTAATGTTTGATTTATTTATTTTATCTTTGTGCATATTTTCTTCCTTTGATCAGTATTGTGATTTTTCAGATAATCTATCTTGTTTAATATGATCTACATACACTTTCAGAGATATTGCTGGAATCGGTGTTCCTGAGTGTGGACCCATACATGAGGTAACAGGACAAAATATCTTTTATCGTCTCTGGGAAACCTTAAACTGGGGGCTGAAATATCAGATGCGTTGATAACTGTAGGGATGATGGTTTCCATCTTGGTCATCCTCTTGTTAAGTCTTTAGCTTGACAAAGACCTTTTGGGGTTGAAATGTTGCTGTTATGGTTCCTAATAAAGTACCTGTCCTGAACCAAGGAGTGCCTGGACCTCTATTACTTTATCCTCTTGCTAAGTGACTGAAGGGTAGACAAGATAGATGACAAGGTGTCTTGAACGTGTCCGAAACTGCTGGCATGGGACTCCTTAGAGCTTGTGCCGGGCCAGGGATCGCTGGACTGGACTGCTAGTAGCTTATATAGTTCTGCTTTCCTAGCTGTGGCTGGGAAAAGAAAATTCCTACGGCATCGTTCTGCCGCCAGTTTAGGAATGTTCCGGATCTCAGAGACCCGGCAGTGGCTGGAATGAGAGATTCAACAGGTGAGCTTGGTCTAAAGGGCGTGCTGGCCCTGGAGAGACATGTTGTCTTCTTGGATTGATTCTTGCGACATCCTATAAAGAGATTAGTAAATAAAATACTATTTTGAAAGCCAATGGTGATAACCCGTATATAGAATTGGCTTGCTAGCTAGTGCCGGTGATGAATAACTTAACTGCCCCGTGACAGGTGAATCTCTACCAATTGCCAAGTGGCAAAGAGAGGCTCTACCTATGATTTGGCTTGTGGGGAAAAGTGGCCACAAATTGGTGTGTTGGCCTCTCGGTGACAGTACAGAGTAAAAATGCGTATGGCCGTGGCAAGTGACACTCTAAACAACCCCTGTAGAAGGGGATATGAGGCAATTAATCTAACGTGGGGCCGTATGGGCGATACCTCCGCGAGAGGTGGGGAGTTGGCCTAATGGGGACAATATCGTAAACAAAGTAGTAAGGCCAGCTCCTAACTCTTGCAGCAAGTTCTCTATCCTTGGCAGTCTTAGAAGAAGCAGAGTAAACATAACCCTATGTACCAAGAAAGGCTGAAAAATAGAGACAAAGTAGAAAAGCAGGATGGAGGATGAAGCTGGAAATGATACCTATCTGAAAAAGATCAAGCAATTAACCTATGACAAGTGAAGTACTGGATTATAGCTTGGTGTGTGTATGTGTGTGTGTGTGTGTGTGTGTGTGTGTATATATATATATTACACACACACACACTCACACCCCTCTCACAAGCTCTGTTTAGGGTACGTTCTGTATGTGTGTATGTACACACACACACACACACACACAGAACGTACCCTAAACAGAGCTTGTGAGAGTGTACTATTACCAGAGAGGGGTCTGTTATGTGTACCTATAAATAAACGAAGATACATGTGAGTAAAGAAGGCATATATCTTTTAACAAAGAGTTTTAGAGTAATTAAGAATTACCTGATAGGTGTTGTAGTAACTCTCTATTTCTTAGTTTGTTTAAAGTAGTAATTGTCAAAGCTGGAAAACAGATAGTATAACAGAAGATCTTTGTAAGAATGTACCGTATTGAGGACTTAACGTGGGTCCAATGCAATGAGACAAGCCCCCGAGAACAACGTGTAAACGTAAAAGATTGCTGGAAGAACACCTCTGTCCAAGGTCTCACTGGCAAAATTGCTAACAATTGATATAGGCACCTAAAATACATGGTATGATAGGAGAACAAAATGAGTACCGAGTTGAGGAGATATATATATATATATATATATATATATATATATATATATATATAGCGAGGGCTTGCACTCCTGGTGTAATCCTGTGGTGCCCGGTGCTGGTCTGGCAAGGATCATGTAGACATAGCAGAAATGACCGCACTCCAAGGACTTTATAGAGATTTTCAAATAAAATTTAGCTTTTATTCAATCCATTTAAAAAGTCAACGTTTCAGCTCCCACATGGAGCTTTCATCAGGACAAAACGTGTGTGTGTGTGTGTGTGTGTGTGTGTGTGTGTGTGTGTGTATATATATATATATATATATGTATGTTCACGAAGACATGTGCATGTGTAATTATTAACAACCGTGTGTGACTAGTTAGTAATATAATCTTGTGAACAGCATCCAAGACAACTGGATAAAGTTTTATTAGACTACATTTAAATAGTGGCAGCCTGTCACATGCTGTCTCAGCCCATTAACAGTGGAGTTCATGCTGAATCCCGACAGCCATTTGTCCTGAGAATCCTGACGCTCCTCACACCTCCCTGTGAGTCACCAGTAAGCTGGGCTGGTCCCAATAAGGCATTTCTGGGTGGGCCAGTCCAGCTCTTCTCCTGCCCATGATACACTCCCTGCCTAGCACCAACCCTCGCCCAAGGTAGCCATGCCATGGCAGGGCTAAAATAATTTTAAAATCTTCACAAAACAGACGCCAAGGAACTGCCTATCCCAGGCGTCGGGTGATATAAATTCCACATCCCTGTAAATGGATACTTAATGTCGTCTTAGATTTCAGTGCCTATTATCACTTCTGTTTTAATTAACAGGCCATACAGTAAACGGATGATGAAACCTGGTGATGTAATGATCGGATCACAAGTTGCCAGGTTTGTATATTTTTGATTACACATTTTTCTCAATTTCATGTCATTGATTTTATAGTACAGATAAATGAAGTGATTTTTCTTTTTATTTGAACTTTTAACTTTTTTTTTTTTTTTTAGATCATGAAAATTTTTACCATTTCATTTTGTCATAATTGAGCAGGCTCTGTTAAGTTGGCATTTGTAAATGTAAATTTTAACGTCTTTCCACCGGTTCTCAATTAGAATTAAGTCTGGGATTTAAATAGGCCATTCTAAGGCACTCATATTATTGGCTTAAAACCATTTCAGTATAATCTAGTGGAAGGTAAAGCTCTGCCCCTTCTCATTTGTATTGCAAACTAAAACAGTTTGTTTCTAGACTTGCTGTATATATTAGGTTATATCCATTTTTGCCTGTCCCTGCCTATTTCATGCATCTTCACAACGTGATGCTACCAGTACAATTCTTCATCATGGTTTGTGGGTTCTCAGGGGATTGCACACTGTAGTCTTTGTTCTTAATGCAAAACCTTATTTGTGGAACAATTTTAAAAGAAGTTTGAGAAATCGAGCAATAGCTGTGTCTCACCCAGTGGATCAGGTAACTTTTAAATAACATATGTTGGCTTTCACCTGGCAGTTAAAGGGACACTGTAGGCACCCAGACCACGTCAGCTCATTGAAGTGGTCTGGGTGCCAACTCCCCTCACCCTTAACCCTAGAGTGGTAATTACAGCAGTTTTCATAAATTGCAATAATTACCTGCTATGGTCAACTCCTCTTCTAGTGGCTGTCTACAAGAAATACAAGACAGCCACTAGAGGGACTTCCGGCTTCTTCAACGACTTTTGGTCGTCTAAAGGATCCTGGACGTCCTCACGCTATGAATAGTGCTTTCCTACGGGGAGATCCTAATGCCAGTGCGGCCATTGCCACACATGCGCATTAGGTCTTCCATGCCGGCGGACGGGGAGGAGCGTGGGCAGAGCTGAGCCAGCACCTATGTAATCAGGTATTAGCCCTTTCAGTGCTGCAGGAGGGGGGCCTTGACAGAGGAGAAATATATACTGTCAGGAAAACGAGTCTGTTTCCCTTTAAATGATTTCCAAGTGTCATGGAGTAAAGTTGTAATGATCCATAGTAATAGCATCCTTTATTTTCTAGATAATTACATTTAAAGTTGGAATATGTGGATTAAGTTCCTAAGTGGCCCTGTGTGCAACCTATGCAAATGAAGCAAATATTTGGTTTTCTGCTCTAGTACCCTCCTAATCTTGAAAAAATGCTAATATAATCTTTTTAAGAATGAGATACAGGTAAAAAAGATTAAGGCCTTACATTTGAAAACTACAATGGGGTAGAGATGGGGAAAAAAACAGAGGGTGAGGGACATTATGTTAGAATAGGCTTGGATAATAAGGAACAGTTTGATAATACACTCACACACCATAGTTTGTCATGTACAATATGTTTTTGTTTCTTCATCTTTCTTTAGAGTGGTGGAAAGCAAAAAGCCTGCCGTTGTAGTAGGCACCTACTATGTTGCAAATGTAGGATGGACCACGCATTTCATATCGGATGGCACAGGGATGCATGCATTGTCTTTGGATTGGCCAGAAAATCTCCCCAGGTCACTTTCTTTGGGTGCAGTTGGCATGCCAGGGTAAGCAGCTAAAAAAACAGCATTCTATCAGCTATTCTGTAATATTAAAGATAAGCTTATTGAAAATAAATATAGGGTTTCCAAAAAGCTGTGCAGGTCTGTTTCCATGTTGTTGTTCTCATTTTTTAAATATATACTTTTGTCTAAAAGTTGGGCGTGACAGACGATTATATTTACCAAGCACAAACTTAGCTAAATAGACCATAAATGTGAGACACAAAATACCAATCTTTGCTCAGCTTACATTCATCAAATACAGTCAATATTTTATTTTGATATTCAACCTTAAGGATGGACGCATTACAGAAATGTTCTGTCATGGATGCCTACCCTTAAGGAACCATGAAGGAATAATTCAGTAATTTGGCATTTTACCAGCAGGGACTATTTCCCTGTTGGTTAACAGGGAACCCAATTAGTGGCTCCATGCTGACTGATGAGCTGTGTGCAGCACTTAAAGAGCACTGCACACGGCCCTCAGCTCAAAGTCTCAGTAGCCTCATTATTGATACCACTAGGTAATTGCTCTGACAGGAGACATGCAGGAGCTAGAAATAACCCAATGCAAGCCCACCTCCACCCGGCCGCAAGATAACTGACTATAGAGGGTGATCAGTGCTGGGCTATTAATGCTGGAAAGTGCTGATCACTGTCTGCAATCACACTGACACTGATATATAACAAAATATCTTCATATTTAGTAGCAGAGAGGGAAATAATCTCCGATCATGGTGACAGAGTTTGTGCCTCTTGCCTCTCTCAGCCCCGTTGTTTGTGTCTCTTGCACGCCCAAGACCCTCTGTGTGTTTCTTACCCCAACACCTTGCCCAGCCATGTGTGTATTTTTTCCATTCCCCAGCCCCTGGGGGCTAGAGGTATGTGTGTGTGTTTCACCTCAGCCTCTTCTGTGTGTGTTTCACCTCAGCCTCTTCTGTGTGTGTCTCACCCCAGCCTCTTCTGTGTGTCTCACCCCAGCCTCTTCTGTGTGTCTCACCCCAGCCTCTTCTGTGTGTGTCTCACCCCAGCCTCTTCTGTGTGTGTCTCACCCCAGCCTCTTCTGTGTGTCTCACCCCAGCCCCTTCTGTGTGTGTGTGTGTCTCACCCCAGCCCCTTCTGTGTGTGTGTGTGTCTCACCCCAGCCCCTTCTGTGTGTGTGTGTGTGTCTCACCCCAGGCCATTCTGTGTGTTTTCCCACCCAAGCTGCTTTGTGTGTTGGGGGAATGGGGTGACTAGCAGGAGGTGGAGCACTGTGTGCTCTCCTCCTGAAGGTCACTCTGACTTAGCACCCCTGGTCCGGGGTTGGCCAGAAGATTCTCAGCAAGGTAGGAGGCAACGAACTTACAAAGGCAAAGACAGAGAGCTACAAGAGGCTATTACTGGGCCTTGGAAGTAACGAGACTTAGGTAGACAAATATATTTCAGGCCAGAAAGGAACAGACAAAATTGTTTACCGCACAAAATACAGGCTGGTATAGGAAAAAAAAACGTAGTGAAACAGGTCAAAGTCAGAAATAGGGACTGGAATGGGTCAACGAGGGCATTTTTACTAAGCAGTGAGCTGTATGTATTTATTTTATTTGGGCAGCGAAGTTTCCCTTTTACAATCGCAATGGACAAAGTGTATCCCCCTTTCAAGAGATAATTGTGCTTGAAAAGGTGAAACACAAATTTAGAGGAAGTGGAAGATGAAAAAACACCTGCCATGATATGTCTTTCTTAAAAGGCATTGTCAGTATTCCTTCATTTGTTATAAATGATAATCCTATTTTACTCCTTAATAGGGGTTTGAGTTAGGATTCATATTCAAAATGTCAGTGGAATGGGTCGTCTCAAGAAAGCACTTGATAATCCACTTGACAAACAAATAATATTCAAATTGGCAACATTGTTAAAGGTTAGTGATACAGAATTTAGGCTAGGTTAGAATATTGACGTTAAGCACATCATTAGGGCAAACAGAATCCAACCTTCAAGCTCCACCTCATTATGGTGAAAGATGTTAATTGACAGACTTAACACTTACCTATTCTTTAACCCTCGCAGAGGTTCTTTTAGATTAAATTGATTTATATTAAACAGTCCTTTCAGGGGAAAGAAAAAATCTATTAGGAATATATGATCAGTCGAAAACCTTTTGCAATGAACTGCCTTTGATTGTCAAGGAAACTGCAGAGAGAGAGGCTGTGACGGTAAAAGGAGACTTCTTTTGTCAGCTCCTGGAGTAGATTTTTTTTTTTTGCTTTTATTATTTGCTTGATCCATAGAAATATTTCAAATCTCTCCAGGTAGATCTATTATTTCCTTAATTATTTATTTATAAAATATTTTAGCAGGAAAGATACATTGAGATTTCTCTCGTTTTCAGGAATGTCCTGGTTTCTGTAAGGACATGTTATCCCCTTCCAATGATAATTTGTGTATCGGTCTGTAGGATGAACTTTACATTTGGTCTAATAATAAATGGAGGCAAAATCTGACCTCAACCGTCTTTTAATTGATGATATTATCATGTTCATGTAGATAGTGGGCTTTTTTTTTTTTTTCATCTTTATATAATTTGGGTAAACTTTGATCAGATTTTGGTTACCATTTACACATACAACAAACACGTTTTCTATTGAGTTGTTTTTATTACTTTGCGTAAAACTGGAATTATTATTATTATTTTTTTTTGGAGTATTACAACAATCAACATATACACACAAGTCTAATAGTTTAGTGTCGTCATAACCTCATGGTATTCATCAATTGTGTGTTTTTATAATTTGAATATAATATGAATACTAAATCCAGATAAAGGAAAATCTCAAATATGAAAAATTAAAAAAAAACTTTATTAGTGAAAAGTATTAAAATTACCCAATGGCCAATACCATGTGTGCTGTGAACAAACACAAATGTGAAAAGACAACTACAAAGAAAAACCCCAAAATGAAATCTAAATCAGAAATAGGAGTATGGTAGATCTAAATAAGTAGTCACTACCCAGTCAGGTAACTATAAACGTTGTCTGGATAGATCGTACTGCCTATTCCAGGATATTCACCAATATCATGAATATAATAAAATGCACACGTCTGTACCAAAAGTAGGTGATGTATCAGGGAATAATCAATGGCTAATTAGATCGGTATGAAATCAGTATTATGGCATATAGTACATTAATTACAAACAGACAGACGTGCACTGCAATGCCTGCACTGTTGCACACATATAGGTAGAATAAGTGATTTCAATAGCATGGGGTAAGCCGCGAAGTCGGCTAAATACTGATATGGAATCCAACTCCATCACTTCCATGATTAGCAGCACTCCCCTGTTTCTGGGGTGGTTAAGGATGTCGTATTGTAGTTGTGATCTCCTGCCTTTTCAGACATAATTGATAATCCTCAATCTCAACGGTCTGAAGAAAGCCTTAGGCAGCGAGAACTGGCATTATCACCACCATCAGAAACAGGTGGATGTTTGAAGAATATCATCCGAGAATTCACCTTGAATTCTGACTTTAGTGAATAACTCAGACATTTAACTCAGAAACATTGGGACTATTGGGCAATTTCTCAACCATCAACTAATGTTAGTATTTTAGCTAAACATTTTATCTGAATATGAATTTCCAATGCCCAGTTGGACTTCAGCTGCTTAGAGTGCCTATTTAAGTAATACAGATTTCAAACAAATTAACTTTTTTTTTTTTTATGTTAGATGTACAGCTTATATTGGCCTATTGGAGGTTTGCAATGCAAAAGAGGGTGAAGTTGTACTTGTTAATTGTGCCGCTGGGGCTGTCGGATCGATAGTTGGTCAGATCGCCAAAATCAAGGTGTGTGAAACGTGTATATCTATAGACCTGAAACCTCTGTAGCAACTGGAAAATCAATTACATGTTGGAAATGTGAAATGATCAACTTAATTACAATATTTAAGTGGCAGTGAATTAATAAAAGATAATTATCATGAGGGTAGAATAAATTACTGTAAGTGCCTATAAAAACACGTCGAGATGCAAGAGCAGTAAGTATTTTATTTAAGTAATTACTTATTTTTGTTAGCAATTCCACACATGATAAATACCTCCCAAAAATCTGGATTTGTCATGGCAGCCATGATGTAAGGCTTGTGTATCACTAGCCAGAATTAGACTCTTGTCAGCCATTTTTGGCCATGTATCACCAGTGGCATACATTGCAATAAGAGCTAACCTGGCCATTCTCCTTCCTTTCACACTTTCATATCTCCCAACAATGAAATATCTTCCTCATGGTCACCTGAAACAGCTGTTTAGAAAATGGCTCCCTAATTTGCCATCCTGTGTATATCACATACATTATATAAACATACTGTGTATACCACATGCATTGTGTATACATGCAGCACTTACAGTCTGTATACATGCAGCACACACAATCTATATAGATATATGCAATTGCCATATTTAATGGTACCAAACTAGAGAGGGAGCTGTGTTTAGTCCCTCTTTTCCTTATCCTTAAATATGGCAATCCCACATATAGAATGTATGTACTGCATTTATATAGAATGTACATGATATATACAGTATAGCACATTAGGGAGCTATATTATAGACAGCTAATAAACATTTTCTTAATTCTGGTCTTTTGGCTGTTTAGTAGGCACCTCACTAATTTATGTGGGATTACCATTTTTAAGGATGCCAAATTAAGGACCTCTTTGCTTAACAGAGCCCCACTTGGACTAATGGGCATACGTTCTTGGGAAGCTACTGACATTTTTTTCTGAATTGTGTTTTGTTTCAAAATGATGATTTCTGAATTTGTGATTGGCAAATAGACATCTATTTATATTTGTAATTTATCTTTGGCTTTTTGTTAACTATTGATGGTGTAGGCATACTTACATTTTTCTATATCTGGCAATGAGGTTTCTAGCAGCAAACTTTCTTTTTAAAATTATAAATTTGTAATGGTTTACTCAGGGGCCATTTCCCTTCTCTATTTGTTAAACAATCCCTCTGACATTCTTAAGAGACCATATTAAACCCCAATCTAATGCGCAAATCTATTGCAAAACACTTGTCGAACACTTGAGGGACCAGAGTAATAATCTTGTTTTGATACAGTAGTAGTGAGCAGTAATTGGCTAAATATATGCACACTGCATCCAAAGTTGTCTTTCACCCAAGGGCAAATCCCAAAGTGTGCATCTCATTGCTTAATGTCTTGTAACTGATAATGGCATGTTAATTGAAAGCTTTGTGAGAGAGCATTTTGCTTATGAGACACCCTTAGCACATACGTGCTGTACTTAAGGAAAAAGCATGGCAAATTCGCCTTTATTTGTTGACACAATGCAAGGGTGATTTTTATGTATCTCATTAATGTCTGCCTCATCTCTGGTGCATATCAATGAGTTAATGGAGAGTGATATGTAGATGTTAATTTTATTTACATGCAACTACTGGGAATATATTCCTTAAAAGCAACTACACATTCAGCTTAGTAGCTGTACTGGGAAAATCAGTTTATTCGTTCAGTTAATAGTATAATTTCAGCTGGAAAATTCATTCAATTGCAAAGTAATATAGTCTTCTTTACATAATTAATATTGTTTAGCAAGTTTTTCACATGTAAAAAAACATACTTCCAGTTCCGTTATAACTTTAAATTCATGAGAACCTTATGTTTTTTATTTTTTTATTTTATTTTTTTTATTTTTATTTTTTGTTCCCTGTCCAGGGTTGTAAAGTGGTTGGATCTGCTGGCTCAGATGACAAAGTTACCTACCTAAAGGAAATTGGGTTCGATGAAGCTTTTAACTACAAGACCGTAAGCTCTTTGGAAGAAGCTTTGAAAAACGCATCACCAGAAGGCTATGATTGTTATTTTGAAAATGTAAGTATTGTATAATGAAATAAGATTAAAATAGGCAGAATTGTGTTAATAGCATCACGCCATAGAACACTGCATTCTACGCACAATCATAATGAATATTAAAGTATTCAGTGAAATAACAACGGTGGAACAAAATGATGAAAAAAACAAAGAAAGAAAAAATGAAACTAGATACGAACAGCAGGTGTCCCTAGAGAGTTGGGTAAGTAATATCTAAATAGAGTCTAGATATATGATATATTAAAACTTAACTTTTAATGTTGTCATTAGAATAAAATGAGAGAAAAGTAAAGCAATAGTTAAAATAGGGTAAGCAGTCTGTTAGTATAAGCTGTGCCAGTAAAGCAACAGCTCTAGTGATTCTAATTACAACATTAAAAGTTAAGTTTTAATGGTATTTATCTAGACCAGGGGTCCTCAAAAAATGAAACTAGACACTACCAGCAGGTGTCACTAGAGAGTTAGGAAAGTAATATCTAAAATAGAGTTTAGATCAGTGGTCCTCAAATCCGGCCCCCCAGATGTTGCTGAACTACAACTCCCATGATTCTTTGAATTACATAGGTAGCCGTTTCTTTTCACTGAATACTTTGTTCTGTTACAGATGTAGTTAAACTATCATTGGCTGAAGCAACCTTTAGAATGTAGTACAATCTAATGTTTAAATGGACTATAAAAATAGCAGATGCAAAACTATAAAAATAAAATGTTCCTCTTCCAATTGTCTCCCTTTGGTTTTATTGTGAGTAATGAGCACTGAACATTTTATCTTATAGGATATGTAGTTCAGCACATGGCAGAAATTTAATTATAAAAAGGCATGTGTAATTCTGTTGCACAAGTATTTTTGTTTTTTTGTGTTCTTTATTAATACGATTTCTCCTGTTTATATACACAGGTAGGGGGTAAATATGCCGATGTAGCCCTGCAACAAATGAATCAATTTGGAAGAATTGCAGTGTGTGGGGCCATCTCTATGTATAATGATTCAGTGCCTCAAACAGGTATATTATGAAATTGCACAGTGTTATTTTGTTAGCTAGTGTCTGCTTCAAGTCAGCTTTTTTAGTTATTAAAGCTTTTTGTTACACACGTATGGTTGTACACATTGAGTTCCATAGCAGAACAAGTATCATGCAGCGTATTACATCACAATCTATATATCGGTCATTACAGGCTGTTTAGCATGCGTGGATTGGAGCAGGACCCAAATCGGCCCCGTCCTCCATAAGGTGTCTCCTGGCGCCTGGGTCTGGTGTGCATGTCCTTACGTGGGTTTTGCTAACATTCGGAACAGCATCTACTTAACATTTTGGCTTAGTAATATCAACAATAACAATAACCAATGTTTTAACTGAACCATCGCCTTTGTTAGATTTCACTGTGTGTATACCAGCTTTCATCCTGATACCTTAGCTGGTAATATGGGTCCTCTAGGGCAAGTCAGCTTTTTTAATCAGGAATATGCTATTCTGAAAGAAATCTTAATTGGCTAAATATATAAGTACGTATTATAAATGATAAACATTTTATATCACTGTGAAAGAATATTATGATAGAAATAAGGAGCATGATCTGTATTAATATCCTATAACTCATTTTTTTAAGTAAACAGGAAATATAGTGAGTGGAATTGTTGAAGGTTTTGTAAGTTAGTGTCAACAGTATGAATTGGATCTTGAAGAATACAGTAAGACAATGCAAGGATTACCAGAGGGGTAAGGTATGGGAGTAGTATTATTTACACCAGAACAGAGAAATGTGGGTCTTTTGAAGGTTTGAGTCATTATAGTCAAGTCAGTGGGATGTGTCCAACCACCATCGAGAGAGGATACATGGAGTAATAGCTCCTTATCAATAGAAACTCAGTCTATTCACCATTTTGAAATAATCTGCAAATGCCACAAGATGGTGGGGACACTTGCCTATTGCCAGTATGTTTCCCTCCAAAGTGCAAAAGCCTTCCAAGACCACTAGATCTGTGGAAAAAGACTCGGCAGCATTCTTCCTCTTCTCCAATCTGCCATCAGACCCAGTTTACAGAACTTGTGTTAGAAAATGATCCTGTTACCTCACCGAAAATGTGAGCCATCACATATTAATTCATAGAGAGATCAAAGATTTAGGAGATAGAACAGATCGGCTGGAACATAAAACCGATAAACTTAAAACATATGCTGACCTTCATCTCCAATCTAAGCAAATTCCCCTGGATGCACTACTAGGCTACATCAATTCCTTTTTTTAAAACTGTTACATAGTTACATAGCTGAAAAGAGACTTGCGTCCATCAAGTTCAGCCTTCCTCACATATTTTTGCTGTTGATCCAAAAGAAGGCAAAAAACCCAGTTTGAAGCACAATTTTGCAACAAGCTAGGAAAAAAATTCCTTTTGACCCCAGAATGGCAGTCAGATTTATCCTTGGATCAAGCAGTTATTACCCTACATTTAAAGATTATATCCTTGAATATTCTCTTTTTGCAAGTATGCATCTAGTAGCTGTTTAAACATCTGTATGGACTCTGATAAAACCACTTCTTCAGCCAGATAATTCCACATCCTTATTGTTCTTACAGTAAAAAACCTTTCCTTTGCCTTAGACGAAATCTTCTTTCTTCCAGTCTAAAGCATGACCTTGTGTCCTATGTAAAGTCTGGTTTATCAATAGATTTCCACACAATGGTTTGTATTGGCCCCGAATATATTTGTATAATGTTATCATATCTCCTCTCAGGCGACGTTTTTCTAAACTAAATAGGTTTAAATGTGTTAACCTTTCTTCATAGCTGATATGTTCCATTCCTTTTATTCATTTTGTAGCCCGCCTTGGCACTTTTTCTAGTGTCATAATATCCTTCTTTAGAACAGGTGCCCAAAATTGCACAGCATATTCAATATGTGGTCTTACCAGTGATTTATAAAGAGGCAAAATGATATTCTTGTCCCGAGAATAAATGCCCTTTTTCATGCATGACAATACCTTACGGGCCTTGGCCACTGCTGATTGACATTGCACATTTTTGCATAGTTTGTTGTCTATAACAATTCCCAAGTCCTTTTCGTGTGTTATCCCTAATTCGCTTCCATTAAGGGTATACGTTGCTTGTGTATTTTTTACGCCAAAGTGCATAACTTTGCATTTTACAACATTAAATTTCATCTGCCATTTGACTGCCCAGTTCCCCAGTCTATATAAATCCCTCTGCAGCAAAGTAATATCTTGCTCACATTGTATTATTTTACAGAGTTTTGTCATCTGCAAACACTGAAACATGACTTTCAATTCTGTCTTCAAGATCATTTATAAACATTTTAAATAGAAGGGGTCCCAGAACAGACCCCTGAGGGACACCACTTGGCACCTCTGTCCAGCTTGAAAATTTACCATTAATGACAACTCTTTGTACTCTGTTTTTAAGCCAATGTTCTACCCAAGAACAAGCATTTTCATCTAGACTGATTTCCTTGAGTTTGAACACTAATCTATTGTGTGGAACTGTATCAAATGCCTTGGCAAAATCCAAATAGATCGCATCCACTGCAACACCCTGATCTATACTTCTACTTCTTCATAGAACGCAATCAAGTTAGTTTCACATGACCTGTGCTTCATAAAACCGTGCTGATTTTTGCTGATAACCATGTTCTTCTCAAGGAATTCTTGAATATTATCCTTTAATAACCTTTCAAATATTTTCCCAGCCACAGAAGTTAAGCTCACAGGTCTATAATTTCCAGGCAAGGATTTTGAACCCTTTTTGAATATAGGAACCACATCTGCCTTCTTCCAATCCTCCGGAACACTTCCTGAAAGAAAAGAATCTTGAAAGATTAAAAACAGAGGTTCACTTATTTCTACACTTAGTTCCTTAAGTACTCGTGGATGGATACAGTCAGGCCCTGGAGTTTTGTTTATATTAACTTTCTTTAGTTGCTGCAGCACCTTGTCTTGAGTTAACCAATTACAATTATTCTGCAAGTTTTTAGTAGCAATCATTTGCACATCTATTGCCATGGGTTCTTCCTTAATATATACGGAGGAGAAATAGTTATTTAAAATTCCTGCCTTTTCCTGGTCTTCATTAACTAACACCCCCGTTTCAGTTTTTAGTGTACCTACACTTTCATTTTTTATTTTTTTTTTAGAATTTATGTACTTAAATGCTTTGGGGTTGGTTTTGGTCTCTTTAGCTATCATTTTTTTATTTTGAAGTTTAGCAAATCTAATTGCCTTTTTGCACGCATTATTTGCTTCCTTATATATTTTATAAGGTGCATCTTATTTGTCTGATTTAAATGCTTTAAATGCCCTTTTTCTTATTTTTAATCTCTTGTTTTACTTCTCTACTAAGCCACATTGGTTTTAATTTGTTTCTTTTATATTTTTTTCCCAATGGTACATACTGAGAAATGTACCTTTCTAATATTTGTTGTAAGATGATCCATTTATCCTCAGTGTTCTTTTCACCAAAGAGTTTATGCCAGTCAATATATTGTAAAGCTGCCCTTAACTTATTGAAATTGGCCTTTTTAAAACTATATGTTTTAGTATACCCCATGTGCTTTTGTTTTTTTGAGTTTATTTCAAAGGACACTATATTGTGATCACTATTTCCCAAGTGCTCACCTACTTGAATGTTGGTCAAAAGATTCATGTTTTGTTAAAACCAGGTCCAGACAAGCGTCCATTCTAGTTGGTGCTTGTACAAGTTGTGACATGAAGGTGTCATTTAACAAGTTTAAAAACCTAATTCCCTTTGCCGAGCTACTAGTCCCTCTGTCCCAATTTATGTCAGAGTAATTAAATTCTCCAATAATTAAAGTGTTACCCAGATTTGCAGCTTTCTCAATTTGCTCAAACAGCTGTTGTTCCTCATCAATATTAACATTAGGTGTTTTATAACATATCCCAACCAAAAGTTGGTTTCCCTTCTTTTCCCACAAGCAGAAATTTTCCCATAAAGCTTCCACATTTTCCTCATCGCATCCCACTTGCTTAAGATTTGGCTTTAAATCATGGTTGACATACAAACATACCCCACCACCTTTCTTGTTTTTCCTATCCTTCCTAAATAACATGTACTCATTTAAGTTAACTGCCCAGTCATGTGTCTCATCCCACCATGTTTCAGTTATACCTATTATATCATATTGTTTAGTGTATGCTACTGCCTCTAGTTCCCCCATTTTGTTATTTAGGCTCCTTGCATTAGTAAGCATACATTTAATATCATGAGTCACTTGTACTTTTTGTGAATTATCAACATTACATAGCTTCTCTGTTCTGAGCTTGCCCCTCCCCCTGTCTCCACCCCCCTTATACTGTGCTAAAGCCCATCTCCTTTCTGTCCTATCTCCATTTTGTAGATTGCTATGACCCTCCCCCCCTACTACTAGTTTAAAATCTCCTCCAACCTTCTAGCCATCCTATCCCCCAGCACTGCAGACCCTCTCCCGTTTAGATGCAATCCATCACTACTATAAAGGTTGTACCCAATTGCAAAGTCGGCCCAGTGCTCTAAAAACCCAAAACCCTCCTTCCTGCACCAAGACTTAAGCCACGCATTGACCTCTCTAATCTCCCGCTGCCTTTCCACTGTAGCGCGTGGCACAGGTAATATCTCAGAGAATACCACCTTGGAGGTCCTTTTCTTAAGTTTGCTACCTAATTCCCTGAAATCATTCTTTAGGACCTTCCATCTTCCTCTTACTTTGTCATTGGTACCAACATGGACCATGACCGCTGGGTCATCCCCAGCCCCTCCCAATAATCCCTCCACTCTGTCAGCAACATGCCGGACCCGAGCATGCCAGACCCGAGCCGGGAGACAGCAAACTGTCCGGTTGAGCTGATCAGAGCTGCAGATTGCCTTATCTGCTCTCTTGCCTTCCTTACATTTTGATCCCCACCCATACTAGGGGGGCTGTTACCTCGGCTGTTAGAAGTAACAGCTTCCTCTAAATTTTTAAATCAATCCTACCAACAATGGCAGAGAAACATACAATAGTTAGAATGTATTTTTACCATAATGAAAAGCCTCTGATGGCTGTAGCATGCAAAATCCTAACCATACCGGAGCAATAAATACATCTTTCTATATATGTGAATTTATCTGCCACCACACTGGCTAGAAGACGCAAGTTCCTCACCATTGCTAATTCTTTTCACAACAATAAATTGGCCTATCGTTGGTGCTTACCATCAAATCTGCTTATAAAGGTTTACCTTTATAAGCAGTTTTGATGGTAAGCACCAAAAAAGGGATGCTAAATAGGAGGACAGTTATCAATGATTGTCATTTGCTTCTTGAACCAGTTCCAGCTTCACAGAACTCTGCACCACAGACACAAATCTTCCCCAAGTTGCAAAAAGCTGGATCCTCCCCTTGAGAAACCAGCTGGCCAACTCTGCTCCTTTTCTGGCGTGCACTGCACAGGCCACACTACAGGACTGTAGTCTCTAACTGCAAGTTTATCACTAGATTTACTTGTGTTAATATTAGTATTTGTCTGCTTGCCTTTTCTAGTTATTGGTATGTACAGAGCCCCATAAGGAATATCTTGCTTTAAAGAGCATGCAAGATATTAATATTCTGCCTTCGAGGCCACCTAGTGCCACATCAGGTAGTTCTCCAAAGGATGGCACTTCCCTTATGTAGTATATTGAATACTCATGGGCACTGGGTGTAAGTTATTGGTAGTCAGTGTACCAGCCACTGCACCTAAGGGTCATAATGATTATATATCCTCTCGAACGAGAGGTTTAACCTATTTATGCCCCTTTGCAGTAGTCTAGCCATTATAAACAAGTCACAGCAAATAATAATTTTATAGCCCCTAAGGATTTTTAATTAGTGCCACCAGTTCCCCTGTTTTTGGTTTTCAGCAATTACACCACATATTTTCAGATTGATTTGATGATTTACTCTAGTATAATTCTGGACCTTTACTGAATGGTCCATACATTACCCCACTCTATTGAGATATTATGCAGTCCTATCTAGTACAACAGTTACTTTTACGTGGACATACAATAATTCAATTACCTACATAGTTATACTGGTTTTGTTACTTTATATTTTTCTTTGTGTTGGTCAGTACAACTCATATTGGCTTGGACCCTTCTAGTCCTTTTGTTGCTTTCTTGTCCACACTGATTTACCAGGCCCCTCTATAGGCCATCATGAAAGATCAGTCACATTCTTGGCTCCTTAAAGCCAATAAGGGACTGTAGTTAACCCTCAATCTCTGCTAGAGGGCTGGTTATGGTTGGATTCGATTCTTCTCCCCTTTAGTTAATTTGGCTTATTCTTTTTAAGTACTGTCACTCAATGTTAAGGGTTTAAATAGCCCTGAGGAAAGGTGTGTGACATTCCTAGAACTTAACCATTAAGGAGAAGTCATAGTTTGCCTGCAAGAAACACACTTTAGCAACTGCAACCTGCCAACATTTTAATCACACAGATCTTCCTTGGGATTCCGCTCCTGCGCCCTTAAGTCCAAGTGGGTTTCTATCCTTTTCAATAGGAGGTGGGCTGTTACAGTAGATAAGAAATATTCAGATAATGAAGATAGTCCTAATTCTGGTTGCAGCCCTTAATTACCACACTATGACACTTACCATCCTTTACTTCCCAAACATCTGCTTTTATCCTTCCTAAAGACTTTCTGTAAATTTAAGGCTGACACCGTGCAATTGAAAGTATGCAGTGACTTAAATTGCATCCTAGACCCACCCTTAGACATCTCCTCTTGGTCCCCACCGAGTCACCAAAGAAGGGTTAGAAAATTCAATATTCTGAAGTGAATTACAAAATAGAAAGAACAAGTGGAAGCAAAATACTATATGAAGAGTATCTAGGACAGACACTAGGGGATAACCCTTATAAACTGGAAAACAGAAAGACATGTTCTGTCCTAATAGTAGCACTTATATAGACAAAATTATTAAAATATAACATTTAACAGGTTCAATAAAAATTGGAGAGACTAAAAGACACGGGAACACAGGGGAAAAAACAAAAAATTAGTAGAGAGTTTGCTGTTTATAATTGCTATATAGACGAAAGAATCTGAGTGGTAGAGCCACTAGGATTAAAAATAGAAATATACTGCTAGATTGACATATCGGAGATATGGTGTAATGAAAAATAACAAGGAAACCGGGTCCCAGAATAGGAAGTGCAACAAAGAAACAAGGTAGCAGTCTACAATAATAATCAGTGCAGCTACCACAAATCTTGTTTATAGCAAGTGAAAAATGGTACTAGATGAACCTCAAAACAGGGGGGGTATCACCTAAATGTCTAGAAAATACAAATCTAGAACATGGGACAATATCCTTCTAGTAGCAGTATATAAATTAGCAAAGGTGAATATACTAGTTAGCAGTAAGGGTGTGAGCAGTGGACAGGAGAAGGTCACTGGCAGAGTGGAGAGACCGAGAAGGGGAATATCTATATGAATAAGGGAAGAAATGTAAAAGGAGCTAGAGTTGGTTAGAGCTTTATAGGTAAGGGTTAGTATTTTGATTTAACACCTATAGGTTACAGAAAGCCAGTGTATGGATGGACAGAGGGGCTGGGTATTGGAGGAGCCACTGGTGAGAAAGATCAGCCTGCCGGCAGCATTCAGTACCAATTGTAGCAGGGCAGTTCGGCTTTTGGGGAGAACAACTAGGTGAGAATTACAGTAGTCCATGCGAGAGATAACCAGAGCTCCTTGGCAGCTTCATGTGTGTGAAAGGGGCAGATGCGGGCGTTTTGCAAAACACTACCATAGTGATCTTTTTATAGACTGCTTTGCGGACCCTTTGAGTTGTTATATGGGACCTTCTGATTAAAGCAGGACCCACACAGAAACAACTAGCTATCCTAAAGCTACCTCCTGGCCAGTTGGCATCATTGGACACTGTAAAAAAAAAAAAGCACTCCTCAAAGAAGAGCTAAACCATCACCACTGAAAGACACCTGCCTAGATTGAATCAGTTATATTATTCCCAAGGCAACAAGGCAGGGAAGCTGCTTGCACCTATATAGTTACATAGTAACTTGCTTCCATCAAGTTCAGCCTTCCTAACATCTGTTTTTGCTGTTATTTCAAAAGAAGACAAACATACTGTTTGAAGAGCTTTCCAATTTTGCAACAAACTGTTAATTCCTTCTTGACTAGAGAATGGCAGCTAGATATCTAATTTGAACAACAATCAGTTACCCCATATATTACAAAAGTTCTTCCTAAATATCCTGTTTTTGCAAGTATTCATCCAGTTGCTGTTTAAACATCTGATAAAATAACTTCTCTTGGGCAGAGATTTCCACACCCTTATTGTTCTAACTGTAAAACAACAAAACACTTTTATTTGCCTTAGACTAAATATCCTTTCTTCCAATCTAAAATGAGTGACTTTGTGTCCTCCTAGCTCAATTAGGAAAGAAACACTCCAATCCACAATTCCTCATTTGTTCTCAGCGGCGGTGCAAAACTCGCAAGCCATATAGTAAATGAGCTAACCTCATTTTATGAATTAATTTATGATCCTTCCTTTCTAGTGTGTGTCTCTCAGTGGAGGCTTATCAATAGGGGCATTTGGGGAAGTGCCCCATCAATTTTGAAGTGGGAAAAACATTTATTTGCAGTAGTTTAGAAACACTAAGGTAATTTGGAAGGGAGGGTGGTACGCCAAAAATATATGGGAATAAATTAGTCTATCTTTAATTCTGTAATAGGTTTCAGTACTGCAGGGCCCTAATTGGTAGCTGTTTGGAGACGCTCTATGGAGAGCATCTAGGCTTTTCAAACTAGCCCCATTTTTTTTACATCAGCCCTGTTTCATCAGGTTTTACCCTTACCTAGTGTCCTTTAAGAAGGAATTTCAGAAATTCCAATTGAGATGCAATTCGGGCAAGAAAAACAAGCGGAGTGAAGGCTATTGGCCTCTCTATTCAGGCACCATAATTGGCTGATAGCACCAGGGATGGGCTTACAGTGCACACAGAAGAGAGAAACAAGAAGCCATCTTGTAAGTAACACACAGAGAGAGAGAGCACAGCAGCGCAGCAGGTCCTGGCCTCTGCCAAATGTAAGTGTATATTATCTTTTTCTCTACCCAATAGAGCCAGTGACAGCCTGAGGATTAAGCAAGGAAATTTGCTGAAATAAATATATATTACATGGTCATGGGAAATAGAGAGCTAATAGTGAGTCAGCAGTAAGCTAAAATGGTTGGAGTCTATCGGTATCTTGATGATAACTATGTGCACACTGTGTGCTGAGAGCTAATGGAATAGCTAACTTGTTTCATAACAGCAATATTTAAGAGAAAGCTACATTTATCATGTAGAAGCACTACTGAAGATTAGGTCATGTAAGGGAGAACTAGGAGAGGGCTAGGGATATAGAGCGAGAGCTATAGCATTTTGCAGAGACATGTACTGTGTGGGCATCTCTGTACACAGAGGTTGAGGTCCATAAAATGCCTTGATAGATTCCCTAATTCTTATGCCAAGTATGCAGAAAACTTGGTTCCCCATTTTACTGCTATAAGCTTGCAAAATAGCTAATGTGAGCGCAGATTTCAAACCAATGTGCTTGTTGAACCTTAAAATATGTGCCTTCCTTTTTTTAGCCAACCACTTAAGATCCCCTCGTATCCATTTTCTGACTTTGTCCTAGGGTGCCAGATGATGAACAATACCAGACGCTTTCTCAATATCATGGAATTAGGGCATTGAGAATTGCATCATCAGGATTTAAACTTGATGGGAACAAATAAGAGAAATATGCACTTCTGTCTCTAGGGGAACTGCCAAGAAAAAGATTTCAGTTTTTTGTAGGCTCCATTTTAATGCTTTATTTTTGTCCTCCTACTTAGACCTTTTTGAAGGTATGGGTTTTAGTTAATCTGAATTCTGAAAATGTAACCATATTTTAACTGCATTAGTTTATCTTCATAAACTTTATCCAAATGATGACTTGATATTTACTAATGTTCTACCATGTGTCAGGTGGGGTTCTGCTAAATGCATAAAAATAGCGACTAGACAGCCAATTTATAAACATTTAGTAGATATGACACCTTATGCCGCATGCCAGGTGGGGGTATATGGTGGTAAAATACCTCCATTATAGTAGTGTTTTTTTTTATTTTTTATTTATGTATTTACTTTTTAATGTAGCTTCTGATTAGCAAGCGCTGTGTGGTGGAACCAGCCTCGCCACTGGGCATTGGAGAAGACTGATTGCCAGCCTCCTGCCCTGTGACTATGGCCCCATGTTGAAATGCTTGAGTTTCCCCTGCAAAGACCCGAAAGCCGGGTCATTCGGTACTTTCCCTATTTGAACAGTGATACCCCAGATAGCTATGCCATGGAGCCCATTCGTATAACGAAAGACTATGTGAAAGACTTTGGCTCCATGGCAATTGAACTGTATGTATGTGATCTGAGCGTAATAATGTGCGCTCAGATCTAAGCTATCTGGGGATATGTTGAATGTACCTCTTTTATGCAATAGCTGCACAGTTATATATTTTTATGTATTTTATTGTCTTTTGCTACCATGTGTTCAATGGAGTTTTACCTCTGTCCTTGGAGGTAATTGGATTACTTCCCAATTATCTCCAGGATAGAGGACTCTGTGGAACTGGTTTGGGCTGGAAAAGCCATGCTTCAGTGGTCACAAAGGACTTTCGACCTAACTTTTGAACCACTGGACCAATTTGAATGATTTTTGAGTATATTTATATTATATTTATGAAGGACGCTGATTTCAAATATGTAATATTTTATTAACATTGCATGCATACTTTTAAAGTTATAAGAATTGTGTAAAAACTGTATTTTCTGCGCTAATTAAGTTAGTCTATTGTCTTGAGATAATTGTATCACAGGCAGAGGGGAGGATTTCTGCTGGGAGTGATTTACTTTATTGTATGTGTTGTAATGTTTTTATACAGTCCTGTATGTGTTAAACCTGCATAAAAGAAGGCCCTTTGGTGCCAAGTAAGAGAAAGTTCTACTTCACCCTCAATTTGGAGTGCCGTCTCTTATAGGTGGAATCTGCAACAAGGGATTGCTATGCTAGGCATACTCCCTTGCTATAATCACTCCTAAGCTCTTGTAAGAGCTTGTTCCTGCCTTGCTCTCTGGAGGAGTTTTATTTTTTTATCTATTTCACAGTAGGTTTATAGTTGCATCTCAGATAGATGGATATATAAAACAAAAGCATAAAAAGTCAAATGGTGTAGTATATCTACATACTTGTATACAATGAATGTGGAAAGCGGCTTACATTTAATAGAGCTTCAGGCCAGCTCTGAAATTCAGGCTTGGGTGGAACATCCTCACCTTGAGATATGTGAGTACTTTTCTTCAATAGGTATAGATCCTCCATGGACTATTGGTATTGAATATAAAACAAAAGACAGGAGTAAAATATATATTGTGTATGTAATAGGAGTGTGTGTGTGTGTGTGTGTGTGTGTATATGTATGTATATATATATATATATGTGTGTGTGTGTGTGTGTGTGTGTGTGTGTGTGTGTGTGTGTATGTAATGTATGTGTAAAATAGCCCTGAATGCCCACAAAGTAACTCCAAGCCATCAAAGATGTCAACCAGGGGAATATACTTATTGTTTACACAGTTCATTCAGCCAATATATGGCAGAAGGATTACTTGTATGGAATTTGTTTTACTTCAGACTTTGGAGGTTTAGTGTCATCTTATCGGCTTCCCTACCTGTACACACAGACAGGTTACTTCTTAATGATATGAGGTTTGAATTCAATAACTAAGAAAATTTCCTACAACCTGGAATAAAGGAGCAAAACACTTGGTTAGTCTCCTGCCTACCTGTCTAGTACTTTATTAACATTTATACTACAGGGCCGTTGAATGCTTCAATCGGATTGGTTGATGAACGTTCTAAGGCGTGCATTATTTTCAGGGAGATGCACGGCTAAAGTAGTTCCAGACTTGACCGCATTACAGTTGCGTAAGAAATTAGTCCTACATACAAGATCGTTTTAATGACAAAAACTTGACAAACGTCTTGAAATACATCACCTGAACAATGTTTCAAGGTGAGGTAACTGTAGTCTAAGCGGAATAATTGACTCCAGGCCATTGAATTATTAGAAAAAAATAATGCACACCTGAGGTGTAACCGCCACTCCGCTTCGCATCGTGACCGCATTACAACCTCGGGGGTGCATTATTTTTCTAATTCAACGGCCTGTCGTCAATTATTCCTTACATAATAACATTATTTCATGTAAGGTACATGAAAGTAAAGCAAGAGATGGCCAATCAAAGTATTGTACTAATAGTAAATGTATTATTTGTTTCTTTAATACTAACAACAAATCTGTTTGATCCCCACAGGACCTTACATACAGCCAGTTATGCTCTTTAAGCAACTTCGCATGGAAGGGTTCATCTGTTACCGCTGGATTGACAAATTTCCAGACATGCAAAAACAGCTTTTGCAGTGGGTGTCAGAGGTGAGGACAGCTTTATTTTTGTGGAATGCAATTCACGTTTTTATTTGTTTGTCAACACAATATTCTACACTTTACAATTGGTAAGCAAAATATAATTAAAAGGCAAGCTAACCTAAACATAGTTGTACAATAGGCCAAGTTAGCTTATGGTCTAAAGGAAATGAGACAATTCCATAAAAGGCAAAAATACATTAATAACAAAAAGTAATATATTAAAATATATATATATATATATATATTGCCTTGCAAAAGTATTCACCCCTCTTGGCATTTGTCGTGTTTTGTTGCCTCACAACCTGGAATTAACATGGACTGTTTGAGGGTTTGCATCATTTAATTTACAGAACATGCCCACAACTTTGAAGCAAACAACAAATAGGACAAAATAACAGAAAAGGTCAATGTGCATAACTATTTACCCCCTTAAAGTCAATACTTGGTAGAGCCACCTTTTGCGGTGGCTCTACAAAGAGCTCAACATTTCCAGTTGCGAGTAAATATTTAAGCCATGTAAAATGGATTTTCACAGCTGGTTATTGTGCAATATATTATCCAGACTTTCAGTGGCGTGTAGCTTTTATTCACTCTAGGGGGCATTATCCTTAAATACCCCAAGTGTGTAAAACAATTGCATATTAACACAAATCCTTAAACAGGAAGAAAACAGATTTGCATTCAGGTTTGTCTTGGGGATGTACAGGTCAGTAGAAGGACTGTGGAATGCTATATAATTTTTTAGAACCACACAGAGTTTCTGTTTCTTGAGTGGTGTTGTGCTGGTTTTTGGTATGCATTGATAACATTTTATTGTGCATACAATTTTTGTTCCTAACACTGCAAAGCTATTAAAATCACTTTTTTGAAATATACGTGTGCCTTTTTTTTTCTCTTTCTAGGGTAAGCTGAAATACCATGAACATGTCACAAATGGCTTTGAGAACATGCCAGCAGGCTTTATTGGGATGCTTAGAGGAGATAATATTGGGAAAGCTATAATAAAGGTGTAACTTGAATGTCAATGTACTCATTCGTCAGATTTAAAAAATTCTGCATGTTTGATTTGCCAGATCCTTTAATTTCTTGATAACCAACTGTGTTCTCCTTTGAATCATGGTCCAGTTTTCTAATGGATACATATATAAAAGGTGGACTCTTACTACATGCTGTGTCTACGTGGATGTGTTCTTTGTCTTGTATTTTTTAATGATTTAGTTAAATAGCACTCACTATCAAATTAATGTCATTTTACAGTAGAGGGGAGTAGCAGCAAAGGCAATAGTTATACAGATATTGAATATTCCAATGTATGTGCATTGTGTAGAAAACGAATAAACATTACAATAACAAAGGTGTTCTATATTCTGAAGCTTTGTTTATAAAGGGTCTGTTATTTTGTCTTTAAGATCAACAAAAGTCACCAAAGATGGCAAGAACATGCAGGAAATGCAATTGACATGATTTGAAAGCAGGGAATATATGTGAATTTGGCAGGCTCAAATGACTACTCATCCTATCATATTCAAATGGACTAGTCATTTAAAGCAACCACTTGATAATGCATGATATCTTACTACTTGCTAAGAGAAAGGATAGCTAAAAGTCATATTTTCACCATGTGGCACTATTTAACCGTATTTCAGGGGTTCCCAACCTGTGGTATGCGAAATGATTTAGATAATGGCAGCCACACGGGTTGGGAACCTGGCCATTTTACAAACCACCGCGCTGGCCTTGGGCCGACAGGGGAGATCACAGGATCTCCCCTGCCAGCCCTAACTGGGCCAGCACTTTCCGAGCGCCTGCCCTGCTGTGTGCCTTCATGGGCCGGTGGGGAGATCAAAGATCTCCCTCACTGACCCCCAGGCACTGACAGGCAGCCCGTAGAGGGAGGGTGGATCTGGGAGGCAGAAGGTTCCTCCCACAAGTTCGGTAATTCGGAGCCTTGCTGCGGGTTACCGCAGGTTACCACCTATTACACCCAGGGCCGGTGCAAAGTTTTTTTGGTACATAGGCGAAGATGTATCTTTCCCCCCCCCCCCCCCAAAAAATAACATCTTCACCTATGTGCCTCTTAACCAGCCCCTCTCCCCGTCCATTAGTGGTCCCCTCCCTTCCCTGTCCCTTAGTGTTCTTCTAAGCTCTCCCCTCTTTTTCCTGTCCCTTGGTGTTTCTCTCCCCTCCCCTCCCTGTCCCTTGGTGCACCCCCCACCCCTTTAGTGGTCGCACTCCCCTTCCTGGTGTGCCTCCTACCTCTCTTGTAGCGTTGCCGAGTGGAGGATATCCCCTACAGGAGCTTCAATTTTCTGTACCTGGCCAGACTGACAGGGAGTGCTCTCTCAGTGAGCACCTCCGGTCAGTCTGGCCGGGTACAGGAAACAGAAGCTCCTGTACTGCGCTCCGCCACACTACACTCAGTGGTGTATACACACTGACAGTCACACACACTCAATGACAAACACACAGACTCACTGATCTGACACACACTCATTCATTGACAGACACACTGATACTCACACACAGACTCCATGCCAAAGATACTCTCACTGATTTGACAGACACTCACAAACACACACTGACAGACACACATACACTGCCACACTCATACACTCACATGCAGTACTCATACAAGCACTCACAGACACACACATACACACTCATACAATCACTCACAGACACACACATACACTCACAGACACACTCACTCACAGACACACATACTCATGCACACAGTCACTCACAGGCACACAGTCACTCACAGGCACACAGTCACTCACAGGCACACAGTCACTCACACACAGACACACATACACACAGTCACACACAGACCCACACACACTCAATCACAGACAGTCACTCACAGACAAACAGACACGCATACACACACTCACTAATTATTTTAATAAATAAACATTTTCCACCCAGCCTCCCTACCTGGAGAGCTGGTGTGGATGATGAATCATTCCCTGGGGTCCAGTGGGGCTGCTGGGAGGTGTGCGGCAGTGCTGTGATCAGACGCGGCTAGGGAGCTCTAACCTCTCTGCTCTGCTCCCTCGCGCGCTGCCTTCTGATACCGCGGGAGCCGGAATATGACGTCATATTCCGGCTCCCGCGGCATCAGCAGACAGCGCGCGAGTGAGCAGAGAGGTTAGAGCTCCCTCGCCGTGTCTGATCACAGTACTTCCGCACGCCGCGCCGGGGGTCGAGATGGTGACCTGGCAGGAGGGAGAGCTTCCCTCCTGCCGGTCACTGAAATATTGCGCCCCCGAAACCGGTGTGCCCTAAGGCGGCCGCCTGTGCCGCCTTATGGACGCGCCGGCCCTGATTACACCGCGCTCCCAAATAAAGGGCACCCCCACGTTCCCCACACACACAATAGCCATCAACCCTCACAAACACACAGAGCACACCTCACACACTCAGCACCTCTCACACATACAGACCCAGCACCCCTCACAAACAGAGAACCCCTCACAGACAGCATCCCCCTCACACACAGAAATGGGGGGGGGGCTAAGAAAGTGTGTGTGTGTGTGTGCACACAGAGCACCCCTTACACACACACACAGCACTCCTCACACACAGCACAGTGTCTGTCAGGGTGTGCATCCATGTGTCAGTGTATGTATCTGTATCTCTGTATCTGCATGTGTGTCAATGTGTGTATCTGTGGCTCAGGGTATGTATTTGTGTGTCAGGATAAGTATCTGTGCATGAGGATGTGTGTCAGTGTCTGTATCTGTGGATCTGTATGTGTGTCAGGGTATGTATCTTTAAGTGTATCAGTGTATGTATTTGTGTCTGTGTATCTGCATGTTTGTCAGTATAGGTATCAGCGTGTTAATGTGTGTCAGATACATACACTGACACACTTAAGCATACATACCCTGATACACAGAGAGCCTGAAACAGAGGAAAAAGCAGGGAGAGCCTTGGGCAGAGGCAAATGCAGGGAGAGCCTTGGGCAGAGGGAAATGCAGGGAGAGCCTTGGGCAGAGGGAAAAGCAGGGAGAGCCTGAAACAGGGGAAAAAGCAGGGAGAGCCTGGGGTAGAGGGAAATGCAGGAAGAGCCTTAGGCAGAGGGGAGAGCATGGGACAGAGGCAGAGTAAAATGCCTCAGACCTTTGGGCAGAGGGGTAAGCAGGGAGAGCCTGGGGCAGAGGGAAGAACAATGAGAGCCTGGGGCAGCGGAGAAGCAGGGAGAGCCTGAGGCAGAGTAAAATGCCTCAGACCTTTGGGCAGAGGAGTAAGCAGGGAGAGCCTGGGGGCAGAGGGAAGAGCAGGGAGAACCTGGGGCAGAAGAGAAGCAGAGAGATCCTGGGGTAGAGGGAAATGCAGGAAGAGCCTTAGGCAGAGGGGAGAGCAGGGAGCAGGGCCGGATTGGCCCACCGGGATACCGGGAAATTTCCCTGTGGGCCGTCGGCACCTGGGGCCGGGCAGGCAGCTGGCTCACCTGTGGCCGCAGAGGGAGCTCCCTTGGTGGCCGCAGGGGGAGCTGGCTGTTCTGTCTCTGCTCCCCCTCCCCAGCGCGCTAGAAAGAGAACGGGGCCGGCTACTGAGTGAGCTTGTGTTTTTATTTTAATGACCTTATGTATATCAGTGAGATTGTTTGTCTATGAGGCTGTGTATCAATCAGCTTGTGTAAGTGAGATTGTCTGTGTCTGCATGTGAGTATGCTTACTGTATAATTAAACATTTTACTCTGAAATGACCAATATTTTATATTGGGTTGGAGTTCCCCAAGGGTCTGTCCTTGGTCCCCTTCTATTTTCTCTTTATACTGCCTCTCTTGGTAAACTTATTGCCTCTTTTGGATTCCACTACCACCTGTACGCTGATGACACTCAGATATACCTCTCCTCCCCGGACCTCTCCCCTGCCGTCCTGCAACGTGTCACTGCTTGCCTTTCTTCCATCTCTGACTGGATGTCCTAACGCTTTCTGAAACTTAACCTCTCTAAAACTGAACTCCTTGTCTTTCCTCCTCCTAATACCGATCCTCCTCTCTCGCTCTCCCTTCAAGTCAGTGATATCCACATAAGTCCATCCCTGCAAGCGCGCTGTCTTGGCGTCATACTTGACTCTGGTCTCACCTTTGAGTCTCACATCCAGTTTGTTGCCAAGTCCTGTAGGTTCCAACTCAAAAACATAGCCCGCATTTGCCCCTTTCTTATGCAAGATGCTACCAAGGAGCTTGTCCATACTCTAGTAACTTCCCACATGGATTACTGTAACCCTCTCCTGATTGGTCTCCCCAAAAGCCGTATTGACCCACTACAGTCTGTAATGAATGCTGCAGCTAGACTGATTTTCCTCTCTAGTCGGTCCTCTCACACCTCACCCCTCTGCCAGTCCTTACATTGGCTCCCTGTATGCTATAGGAGTCAATTCAAAGTGCTAACCCATACATTTAAAGCACTGAACAATTCTAGCCCCACTTATATCTCTTCACTAATCCATAAATATGCCCCTCCTCGTACCCTCCCTCTGCCTGTGACCACCTCCTGACCGCTGCTCGCACCCGTACGGCCAACTCGCGCTTGCAGGACCTCTCGCGGGCGGCTCCTCTCCTATGGAATAGCTTGCCTACTGCCATCAGACTCTCCCCTAGTCTTCAATCATTAAGAAGGGCCTTAAAACCCATCTCTTCAGGAAAGCTTATGGCCTCCCAGAGTAATCTCTACCTTACATACCTGTCTCCTGCTCTCTCCTAAGGGACAGTGCTTTGCTCTCTCCTCCAGCTCTGCTTCACTCCTACTTGATATTTCATGTCCTAATGTTTCTAATACCCTACCTCCTATAGTCTGTAAGCTCGTTTGAGCAGGGTCCTCTTCAACCTATTGTTCCTGTAAGTTTTCTTGTAATTGTCCTATTTATTGTTACATCCCCCTCTGAAAATATTGTAAAGCGGTACGGAATCTGTTGGCGCTATATAAATGGCAAAAATAATAATAATAATATATTTATCTCAATCATCTAGGGTGGCAAGACATAGCCTTACATATTACATGCGACAATATATGGCGCAATGACTTATGGGGCTGGCATAGATTTTTTTTCCAGGGCTGCTTTGGAATCCCCAGTCTGGCCCTGGCAGGGAGAGCCTGAAACACGGGAGAGCTTGGGGTAGAGGAAAATGCAGGAAGAGCCTTGGGCAGAAGGAAGAGTAGGGAGAGCCTGGAACAGAGGGGAGAGCAAGGAGAGTCTGGGTCAAGGAGAAGCAGAGAAATCCTGGGGTAGAGGGAAATGCAGGAAGAGCCTTGGGCAGAGGGGAGAGCAGGGAGAGCAAGGGGCAGAGGGAAGAGCAATGAGAGCCTGGGGCATAGGAGAAGCAGGGAGAGCCTGGGGCAGAGGAAAAAGCAGGGAGAGCCTGGGGCAG